TAATGTTTCTCTCCCACTTCCTCTCCCTCTCTGAAATCAACACAAATATAGTTTTTTAAAAAAGAGTAACCTAGCCGAAACAAGTTTGGCTCAATGGATAGAGCGTCGGCTTGGGGACTGAAGGGTCCCGGGTTCGATTCCGGTCAAGGGCATGTACCTTGGTTGCGGGCATATCCCCAGTAGGGGGTGTGCAAGAGGCGGCTGATCGATGACTCTCTCTCATCAATGTTTCTAACTCTCTATCTCCCATTCTCTCTATACAAAATCAATAAAATATATTTTTTTTAAAAATAAAATATATTAAAAAAAAAAAAAAAGAGTAACCTATAGTGACAGGAAACAACCCCAGCTGTGGGGCCTGAGGGCTGGTGGGTGATTGACTGCAAAGGAGTGGGTGTGGGAGAGCATTTTGGAAGATGTTCTGTTTGTGTGTGTGTCTGTGGTTATAATTACATGGGAATATACATTTGTCTAAACTTGTACTCTGAAAATGGGTGCGTTGTAACTGCATACAAATTATACCTCAACTAAGTTGATTTTTTTGGGGGGGGGGTTAAGAGGACATTTACTGGGTAAATTGCAGAGGGAGAAAAAGTAATTCCTAGAAGAAAATGGGCTTAAACAATTATAGAGGCAAAGGAAGGGCCCCTGGAGCTTGGGAGTGAGGAAGCCAGTGGTGACCTGTGTGTGTGTGTGTGTGTGTGTGTGTGTGTGTGGTGGGGAGGGGTGGGGAGAGGCACTGGTGTGTGTGTGTGTGTGTGTGTGTGTGGTGGGAGGGGTGGGGAGAGGCACTGGTGTGTGTGTGTGTGTGTGTGTGTGTGTGTGTGTGTGGTGGGGAGGGGGTGGGGAGGGGAGAGGCACTGGTGTGTGTGTGTGTGTGTGTGTGTGTGTGTGGTGGGAGGGGTGGGGAGAGGCACTGGTGTGTGTGTGTGTGTGTGTGTGTGTGTGTGACGGGGCGGGGTGGAGAGAGGCACTGGTGTGTGTGTGTGTGTGTGTGTGTGGTGGGAGGGGTGGAGAGAGGCACTGGTGTGTGTGTGTGTGTGTGTGTGTGTGGTGGGGAGGGGTGGGGAGAGGCACTGGTGTGTGTGTGTGTGTGTGTGTGTGTGTGTGTGTGTGACGGGGCGGGGTGGAAGAGGCAGTGGTGTGTGTGTGTGTGTGTGTGTGTGTGTGTGTGAGACGGGGCGGGTGGAGAGAGGCACTGGTGTGTGTGTGTGTGTGTGTGTGTGTGTGTGTGTGACGGGGCGGGTGGAAGAGGCAGTGGTGTGTGTGTGTGTGTGTGTGTGTGTGAGACGGGGCGGGTGGAAGAGGCAGTGGTGTGTGTGTGTGTGTGTGTGTGTGTGTGTGTGACGGGGCGGGTGGAAGAGGCAGTGGTGTGTGTGTGTGTGTGTGTGTGTGTGTGTGTGTGACGGGGCGGGGTGGAAGAGGCACTGGTGTGTGTGTGTGTGTGTGTGTGTGTGTGTGTGTGTGACGGGGCGGGGTGGAAGAGGCAGTGGTGTGTGTGTGTGTGTGTGTGTGGTGGGAGGGGTGGGGAGAGGCACTGGTGTGTGTGTGTGTGTGTGTGTGTGTGTGTGTGACGGGGCGGGTGGAAGAGGCACTGGTGTGTGTGTGTGTGTGTGTGACGGGGCGGGTGGAAGAGGCAGTGGTGTGCTCCCGGAGGGAGAGCAGTGGAGTGGAGTTGTAACGGGATAGAAAGGCAGCAGGGGCAGCACATTCACATTAAAGGTAACAGTCTGTTCACTTCTGGAGTTGAGGGCCCAGCCCCTGGGATAGGCCTGATGAATTACCAGTTAAATGAATAAGCCTGTTCCCTTCCGCGGTCTCCTTTCTAGTGTACCGTTATCCTTTCTCTAAGGTGGCGGGCGGGGTTCTCTGGTGGTTTTACTCTGTTCTCTTCCACCGAGTCATTTCTAGGTTTCCATCTTTGAGCTCCCTACTCTGTCTTCCGGGTCTGCTCTTTCCCATCTTTCTAATTCATTCTTCATCTCATTTATTGAGTTCTTCAGCTCCAGAATTTATTTCTTTTTATAGATTCAGTCTCTGATAAAATACTTTTGTTTGTAGATTTTATTCCTTAACTCATTGAACTGCCTGAGTGTTTTCATAATTGCAATCTCGAATTCTCTGTCATTTAAATCAGTCTTCCATTGTCTTGGAGTTTATTTCTAAAGACGTTTCTTTCTGAGCTACCTTGTCATTGTGGTTATTCATGGTGCTTGATGGGTGGTTCTCTGCCCGGAACCCTTAGGTACCGTTTGGCTCACAATTCTGCGGGTCAATAAACATAGGTCTTTCTTTTGTTCTCCACTAGGTGGTGCTATATTGTAAGTTTCCGTTTTCTCTTACCTGCTCTGCTGGCACCTGGGGCCCTCCTTGGGGCAGTGTTGCCTCAGTCTTGGAAAATGCCCCGTGTTTCCCAAGGACTTTGGTGTCTGCTCCGTATCTGGGTTTCCTCAGTCTCAGTACCATCCCTGTGCTGGGCTGTTGGGCTCTGGGCCTGCGAGTCCCCAGTGCTGCCTCTTTGTAATCAGAGGCTGCCACCTGAGGTGTCTCCCTACCAGGTTCCACCGTGATGGGTGGTAAGGGTGGTTGGTGGGGGAGGCGGGTTCACAAGTCCGAAGTTTTGCCTTCTTGCTCATGGTGACCACGTCTGCTGCAGTTGGGACACCACTGTGCCTTGTCACAGCCCAGTGCAGCTGCAGTGGGAGCCTGCTCCTCAGGCTGGAATGTCACTGCCGCCCATTCCACCTTCGGGCTGGCCCGGCTCCGCTCCTGGGTGAGCTGGGCTGCAGCAGACGGGGGCGGGGCAGGTTTGGTGTCTGCAGCTGCCACTGCTGTACCACATCTCCGCCCTTGTCACCAGCTTAGCTACAGCAGGTGCCACCCACGCAGGCTGCAGTGCTGCTTCTGCCCTCCGCTGCTGTGTGAGGACTCCTTCCTGCTCCTGCATCAGACTGACCCGGGCCGCCTCTGTCCTCTCGCCCGCCTCCCTGCTCGCTGGGGGACACCTCCTGGTGTCTGTGCGGAGCTGGTGGTGGTGTGCCGACATTGACCAGGAAATCCTTTTCTGTTAGTTGTCTGACTTTCAACTTTCTTCTTAGCCTTTGGATGTCCAGTTGTTCCAGCACCTTTGTCTTCTCCTTCGTGAATTAACCATTGAACACCATGAAGTGTCTATACACTCAAGCAGTGGACCTTTTTAAATTCAAAATACTGTGGCAGTTAACTGGTTAAATCTTGCATCTTTGAAGAAAGTCATTTGGGCAGGTTGTGCCTGTTTCTGGGTTGTGGATTCTGTACTATTGGTCTGTGTCCATCGGCACCCACTGTGATCCTGGTGCTGCACACCGCACCTCATTTCACTGCGCCTCACCTTACTGCTCTTCTCAGGCGTTGCGTGGCTTACAAACGGGAGGCAAGACTCCTCCAGCAGAAAGATCCGTTCACGTTATTGCAGGCATCTCCGATGTATGCCTGTAATGAGTTCTGAAATCTGGCAGATTCCTTCCACTTCATTCTTTTTTAAAATTGTTTTAGCTATAAGTTTAAAAATAATCTTATCTACCTCTATAAAATACCTTACTGGGTTTTGGCAGGAACTGCGTAAATCTGTACATCAATTGGGGAGGGTTGAAATCATTGCTACGTTGTATCTCGTAATCCATGGACACCATAAGTCTCCATTTACCTCTTGTTCTGTCTCATTCATTCGTGTTTTGTAGCTTTTGGCATATATGTAAGTCCTTTTGTGTTTTGTTATATTTACAATTAAGGGCTTTATTTTTAGAAGCAACTGTAAATGGTACTTTATCCTCACCAAGAATATGATTTATTGATTTTATTTTTTAATCCTCACCGGAGGACATACTTACAGGTTTTAGAGAAAGGGGAAGAGAAAAATGCTGATTGGTTGCCTCCAGTATGCGCCCCGACTAGGAATGAAAACTGCAACCTAGGTATGTGCCTGGCTGGGAATGGAACTGTGACCTGTGGTGTGTGGGACGACACTGCAGCGAGCATTTGATTTTCATTGTGGTCACATGGTCATTGTTAATATGTAGAAATGGGGCTTTGCATGTTCACCTTGTATCCTGAGATCTTGCCCAACTCTTATTCTAGGTGGTCTTGTGGGTTTCTTAGGATTTCCTATGCGGACCAGTGTGTGGTCTGCATGACAACGTAACACCTGGGCCCACCCCAGGGACTCTGATTGTGTTGTCTGAATATTAGGGCTTTTAAAACTTTCCCTTGTGAGTCTAAGCAGCAGCCCAAGGCTGAGAACCGCTGCTCTTTGAACCTTCCCATCCATGAGCAGAGAAGCCCATGAGCGTGAGGGCCGCGGGCCCAGACTGCCCAGCGTGCTGCCTGCTGTGCGTGGTTAGCAGCGTGCGCCGGGCTGGGGAAGGCGGGGCCCTGGGCCTGATGGCCCCGCTGCTGCTCGCCCCGCACACACTAGCCCGGAGGGGTGACCAGCCAGTTTTAATGAACACATTGACGCGTATAAAAAGGTACTGTTGTCGGTCACGTAAGTGTCCCCATTCTCTGGGTGGGGAGTCGTCTTCTCTGTGGACTAGTCCCTGCTGCTCCCCGGCCCAGCACCTGGTGGAGCTGGCTCCGTCCCCCGGGCGGGCTCCCCCGCCAGGGCGGGCTCCGTCCCCCAGGGCAGGGCGGGCTCTGTCCCCCAGGGCGGGGCGGGCTCCGTCCCCAGGGCGGGCTCTGTCCCCAGGGCGGGCTCCCCCCCCAGGGCGTCCCCCCGGGCGGGCTCCGGCCCCCAGGGCAGGGCGGGCTCCGGCCCCCAGGCGGGCTCCGTCCCCCAGGGCGGGCTCTGTCCCCAGGGCGGGCTCTGTCCCCAGGGCGGGCTCTGTCCCCAGGCGGGCTCAGTCCCCCAGGGCGGGCTCCGTCCCCAGGGCGGGCTCCGTCCCCCAGGGCAGGGCGGGCTCCGTCCCTCCGTCCCCCAGGCGGGCGCCGCCCTGGGAAGGGACAGTGTGGGCTCTAGGCTTTTTCACAGTAAGAAGAGCTGGCTCTTGGCCCGAGAAGGCCACCAGCTTAGAAGTCACTGCTGGCACGGTGTCTGCCCAGGGGCCGCCCGTGTGCGAGGGAGGGGGGCGCCTTCACCGGGAGCTGCCCCTCGGCTCCTCCAGGCTCCCTCCTGGCCCTGGAGACCCAGCCTGCCAGGAGCACGCCCCACCAGCACAGGGAGGCGCCGGGGATGGGAGGGGAGGTCCCTGGAGAGGGTGCAGTTGGGCCCGCACTGCGCCAGCCAGCAGGGGCAGGTGCCGCTCTGCTTCCCTCCACAGCGGGCTCAGAGCCTGCGGTGCCCCGCACGGAGGTGGCAGAGGCGACAGCTGCAGGTACAGACCGAGCTCCGCTGGCGTTAGCGCCCGAGGCAAAGCGGGTCCCGGGCCACAGGCACCCCCGCACCCAGGCCTTCATGTTACCGGGAGCGCCCGGCTGACCGGCTCAGCGGCGACAGGCCTGCCCCAGCCTTTCCCAGGGCGCGGGCTCCGAGCACTGGCTCAGCTCCTCGGTCTCAGGGTTCCCGTGCCACCAGGCTGGCTCTGGATTCTGTGCTGGGGCCTCAGACCTGCTGAGCAGCCCCGTCCGTCCAGACCAACACAGAGGTCCTAGGCCGAGCTGTCCGGAGCCGCTGACACCCGCCGACAGGAGCGGCGTCACGGAGAGATGGCCCACGGCGCCGGCGGCTGTGCCATGGCCCCCGGCAGGAGGCGCCGTGGGAGGGAGGGGCACCGGCATCTCCTTGACCTCGAAGGCGGCTCCTGGCCCCGGGCAGCCCCGCACGGCTTCCTCAGCTTCGCGGCCATCCCAGCACCAGCTCCGCCGCCTTGTCTGGCCTCCTGGTTCTGCCGCAGCCTCTCCTGCTCCATCTGCCCGCTGGCCGGCCCTGAGCCCACACCACCACCTTCCCGGAGGCCTGGGGAAGGGCGGATGGTGGCGGAGCGCCCGAGGGCTGCCGTCAGCACCGGCTGCGGGGGTGCCCCTCGTAGGCCTGCAGAGCCTCCCGGATGGCCCGCTGCCAGTCTCGGGCCAGCTGCACGGGGGTCGCCGAAGCCTGGGAACAAGGTTGCCGGGTCAGTCCTTCCTCCTGGCGCCCGCCTGCCTTCCCGGAGCGGGGCTGCGGCTCACCTGGTTCCGCACGCCCAGCCCGGCCCCGTAGAGCAGCAGCAGCTTCATGGCCCGGTGGTGGCCGTGCCGCACGGCCTCGTGGAGGGCTGTGTCCCCTTCCTGTGGGGAGCGGCGACGTCGGTGCTCTCCCCTGCCTTTCCCTCCCCCACAGGAACGCGTTCCCTAGACGCTAAGGGACCCCCCAGGTCTGCGCCCGGGGGAGCAGCGGGCAGCACCCTGACCTGTCCCCGAGGCTCCCTGACCTCTGGCTTTGGGCGCTGCTTCTATCGGGAGCCCTGCCTCCCCGTCCTCAGCCTGTGAGCCCCAGTGCTGCCGTGGGGATGGCCTCCCGTCCCCGAGCTCAGGCCCCGTCTCTGCCCCGCGGAGCCGCCCAAACCAGCGCCTACCTTGTCCTGCGCGTCGACGTGGGCCCCGCAGGCGATGAGGTGCTCCAGGCACTCGCAGTGCCCCGTGCGCACGGCCACGTGCAGCGGGGTGCTCCAGATCTACGGGCGCGGGCGGACGGCCACTGAGCGGCAGGCTCACCCCAAACCCAGGGCTGCGCTTCCCCACGGGGCGTCCCGCACCTTGTCCCGCGCGTTGACCTGCGCGCCGTGGTTGAGCAGCTGCTTGAGGACGTCCAGGTGGCCTCCCCGGCAGGCCCAGAACACGGGCGTCCTGTCCAGCTGCAAAGCAAAGCGCTGAGTCCGACGCGCTGCAGGCCGCGCCAGCCCCTGCGGAGGAGGCGCCCTCCCCGTTCTCACCAAGTCCCGCGCGTCCACGGCGGCCCCGGCCTCCAGCAGCTTGTCCACCAGCCGGCCGTGGCCCTTCAGGCAGGCCCAGTGCAAGGCCCGGCGGTGGAGCTGGCGGTGGAGACGGGAGGGTAAGCAGGGCAACGGGCGCCTCTGGAGGTCCCGCCCCTTCCCCAGAGCTGGTGCCCTGGAGAGAGCCGCCTGCTCTTGGTCACGCAAACAGCCCCTCCCGCAAACAGGAAAGCCCTGTGGTTCCCACGGTGGCACTCCGCAGAGCCGAGCTGCTCTCCGCGCCCCTCCCTTTACCTTGTCGTGGGCATTGGGGTCCCCTCCGTCCGCCAGGTACTTGTGGACCAGGGCCTCCTGGTTCTCGGCCGCCGCCTTCAGGAATGTGTCCAGGCCCACGGGCTCGGCCTGGGCCTGGGCCTGGGGCTGGTAAGTTAAGGACGAGAGCAAACCAGTTGCACACTGGGCTGCAGGGGCCTACAGACACTGTTGGCTCATACAGATGAGTTTTAAAAACCGACTTCAGTAGGTAGCTGGTGGGGTGGGGGGTTATGGGCTGACTTGTGCCCCCGCTCCCAGTTCATACACTGCAAGTCCTGACCCCCAGAACCTCAGAATGTGACCTTGTCTGTAACCGTCATGGCAGCTGCCGTGCAGGGGAGGGAGCGGAGCGGGTGGGCCCTAAGCCAGTGTAACCAGTGTCCCACCTCACAGAGGGGCACTGGGAGCAGAGCCAGGCGCGGGGAGAAGGCGGGTGGGCCTGAGGCGGAGGGCGGGTGGTGTGGCCACAAGCAAGGGAGCAGCCGGACCCGCAGCCCCAGGCCCTGAGTGCAGCCGGGGCTCCGCTCAGGCTGTGCAGCTGGAGCTGCTGCCTCAGGCGTGGCTGGCAGCGCCCCTTCCCCAAGCTCTTCCTCAGAACCCAAGCCTTGGGGTGCGCCCCCTTACTCCCCGAACTGACTGCTCACCCACCTCAACCACGCGCTCAGGTGCCCTGCGGGGGACTCTGCGTTTCAATCGCTTTTCTCTTCGTCTCTGAACCAAGTTTTCCAAGTCAGCCAGGTTCTCCAGGTTAGTTCTGGAACTCTTAAACCTCTCAAGCTGGGGCAGGAGACAAAACCATGCCACTCATCAGCCAGGTGCGGGCTGGGGCAGCCTCTTGTTCTCGGCTGGCCTCTCCCGCCTGCTGCCTGCCGCAGACACAGCCGCCCGCCCCACCCCGGCTGCCTGCCGGCCTCCAGGCCCCCCGGCTCTGGGCCTGCCCCTCCCTCCCCCCTGCACCAGGGCACTCACTCTCCTCCTCTTCTCCTCTTCCAGCCTCTGCCTCTCCTGGGCCACGGCCTCATGGGGTCCCAGCCTCCAGACTCCGGGCCAGCCTCCAGGATCAGGAATTCCATGTCCACATCCCAACACTTTCCTCCCTTCTCTTTCTCCACTCACCTGTGAGGACAGGGTGAGGATGAAGAAGACAATTAGGAGGGTCCTTAGAGAGCCAGCTGTCCAGTGGGGGGTCCAACAAGAGCTCACCCTTTTCAGAACTCTCCATGCAGGGTTGCTGCTGGCTCTCCCACCTCCGCCTGCCCTGCCCTGCCCTGCCAGCAAGGGCACAGGGTGGGGCGTGACCCCGTCTATTTATATGCTGGGCTTTGTCCAGGGGAGCTGGAGCACATGACACCTCAGCTTTCCCTGCATTCCTACCAGATCACGCCATACTGCCAGCCGACCCCAAGCCAGGGGCACAGGAGATGCCTGGGCAGCGGGGGGTGAGGGGTGAGGATGGGGGTGGGGGATGGGGTTGTCTTGGATTCCTGGGGTCCAGTCTTGGCTCCCACAAAGCTGTTTCTTCATCAGTAAAAGGGTGTGGAACTAGCGCTCAGCTCAGCTGTGCTGGGACAGCCCCACTGCTCCGCCTGCCCCTGCCGGCCCGCACAAGGAGTGAACGTGCAGAGGCGAGGCTGGGTGGCCGGGCCTGGGGCTTCAGCCACAGGGAACTGCATTCCCTTTCAAAGCAAACGCTGGCCACCCCGCACGGCTGGGCCCGTGGGCACTGTGGCACCAAAACATCCCGAAGTGCCCCTGGCGCTGCCGTTCCCTCAGCCCAGCGCCCTCCCCCCTCCCTCCCAGCCAAGGCAGCTGGCCCCCGGCCATTTCCAGAGCAATGGATGTCCGGCATTGAGCTAAACTGAGCCTGGGCCTGCCGCTTCCTGTTCCTCTTTAGCCATCGCCATCCTGGCAAAACTCACTCTACACGTCACTCTTTCCCTCTCTTGCTCCCTAACCCCCTCCCTCGCCACCCACAGGAGAACCAGCACACAGACCAGGGGGCAGCTGTCTGGGCTCTGAAAACCCCATCCGCAGACACAGAAGCAGCTGCTGCCCCTCATTCTGCTGAGAAGGCCTGGGGGTGCCCGGATGACTGGCTGCCCTCCTGGCCCTCTTCCCATCCTTACCAACTGCTGCACGCTGATGCCCTCCATGGTCCCCCGCTCTCCGCACCCCAGTGAGAGGAGCTGAGCTGCCAGCACTTTTATAGGTGAGCCGTCCCTGGGGGCAGGCAGGGCAGGGCAGTGGCTGGCACCCAAGCCAGATGACTCTGTGGCTCTGTAATGCCCACCAAAATACCAGGTGGGCCTGTTGCCGGGCAGGCAGAAGGAGGAGCTGCTCTGAGCTGAGTCAGGGGCATCCTCAGACACCTACTACCCCGCACCTATGCCATCCCCCATGCCTGCTCCGGAGCAGTTCCACCAGACACGTGTCCTAGGGTGCCTGGCCACTGGCCCGGATTCAGGGGGAAATAGCTCCCACTTTCCTAAGTCCAGACGCCACTTATGAAACAGAGTCAAGTGTGAGCTCCACACTGTGGGCCCAGCCACCTGTGACCCTGCAAGGCCCAGCCCTGCCGCCCGTGGGAAAGGGGCCTGAGCCCACAGGCACCGGGAACCCTCATGGCAAGAAGTCAGGCGGCAAGGGGTCTCCCAGGGCCAGGACTGCCCCCACTCTGGGTGGCGCCCCAAGGTGCCTTCTCCCTCCCCGAGGGGCCTCGTCCAGCCTGTTGCCAGCACCTCAGCCCTGGGAGGCCAGGCCCCACCAGCAGGTCCCTACCAGCCGCCCTCCTGGAGCAGGACATGTCTTTCCAGAGGGGAGGCCAGACTGACATGGCTGCAGGTCCAAGTACATAACATTCACCGCTAATCCAGTCGCAAAGCAACCTGTCACCAGCCTCAAAATCAAAGTCCTAACAGGCCCTAATGCCAGCCTGCCCTTCAACCAGCCGAGCAAAATGCTCTGTCTTGACCTTTGAGAGGAAACCCGATAGCCAGTAAATAAGACTCCAGAGGGGGAGTAACATGAGCAGAGATGACCAAACGAGAGGGGGGGATTTCGGGTCAAGGACACCCCAGGCCCTGAAGAGCTGCCAAGGTCCTACCCAGGGCTGACCAGCTAGTTTGTAAGTTCTTGCCAGTTCTGAGACCAGATTTTTATTTTTATTTTTTAAATATATTTTATTGATTTTTTTTTGCCCCCCTCCTTCCCTCCCATACATACCCTCCCTCCCCAGAGTTTTATGTCCATTGGTTGTACTTATATGCATGTATATAAGTCCTTCGGTTGATCTATTATCTCCCCCAGATCTCCCTCCCCTCCCCACTGTAAATTGACAGTCTGCTTGTTGCTTTACTGTCTCTATATCTATCTTTTGGTTCATCAGTTTATAATGTTCTATATTATCCATAAATGAGTGAGGTAATGTGGTGTTTCTCTTTCATTGATTGGCTTATTTCACTCAGCATGATGCTCTCCAATTCCATCCAGGTTGCTGCAAATGATGAGAATTCCTTCTTTTTTATGGCAGCATAGTACTCCATTGTGTAGATGTACCACAGTTTTTTGATCCAATCATCTGCTGACGGGCACCTAGGCTGTTTCCAAATTCTGGCTATTGTAGATTGTGCTGCTATGTACATAGGGGTACATATATCCTTTCTGATTGGTGTTTCTAGTTTCTTGGGATATAGTCCTAGGAGTGGGATTACTGGGTCAAATGGGAGTTCCATTTTCAGTTTTTTGAGAAAACTCCACACTGCTCTCCACAGTGGTTGCACCAGTCTGCATTCCCACCAGCAGTGCAAGAGGGTTCCTTTTTCTCCACAACCTCGCCAACACTTGTCGTTTGTTGATTTGTTGATGTTGGCCATTCTGACAGGTGTGAGATGGTACCGCATTGTTGTTTTGATTTGCATCTCTCTGAGACCAGATTTTTTTTAAAAAGTTACTTTTTTTTTAAAGTATGTTTTTATTGACTTTTTAGAAAGGCGGGGGCTAGAGAGGAACATTTATGAGAGAAATATCATTGATTAGCTGCCTCCTGCATGCCCCCACAGGGGATCAAGCCCACAACCTGGGCATGTACCCTGACGGGGAATCGAACCCTGACCTCCTGGTTCATGGGTGGATGTTCAACCACTGAGCAACACTGGCTGGGCTGAGACCAGATTTGTGTTTTTAAGAAACTCAATCTGTATGCGTCAGGGTGTTCTGTCAAAGGTGCTTTCTTGTCTTTCCTTATGAGGAGGGAAAGGGTTACCTAGACCTGAGTGAGGGAGGACAGACAGGAAAAGTTATAAGCTCTGGGCTCCACTGCCAGCCACCTACTCACCCCGCTCCCTCAGTGTTCCTGGCGAGTTTTACCTGCAACTCGGCAGGAAACTAGTCTCTTCCACGTGAAACTAACTGGCCTATTAAAAAAATTACTCCTTGTAAAAAATCCATACTAACAAATAAAGCTCCACAAGAACCCCTTACTCCCCACCGTGCCCTGGGGAACCTGGTCAGTTTGCTAGACTTCCTCTGACTTCGTTCCTGCCATTTGGTGTATGTACATACGTGTTTCTACAGACATGTTTTAAGAGGCACATGTTGTGATCACAACTCAGCACGCTTCCCACATTAGCATACACCGTTCCACTGCACTGCACTCAAATGGCATGTGGACCCTTTCCCTATCGGGGAGCATCCTGGTCATCTTTTTTTCTTTTTCTTTTTTTTTAATATTACACCCCACGCTCAAATGTGTATCTTTGTGAATACCTCCATAAATAGGCATCTTGGTAGATATGAATATTCTTCTATGTAGCTACAGAAAAACCAAATTATTGGCTCATTTAACAACAAATTTTTAAAATGTTTTTCTTGATTTCAGAGGACAGGAGAGGGAGAGAGAGAAACATCAATGATGAGAGAATCATTGATCAATCGCCTCCTGCATGCCCCTCCTGACCAGGAATCGAACCCTAACCTTCTGTTTCATGGTTCAATACTCAACCACTGAGCCACAATGGCCAGGCTGTTCATTTAAATTTTAATAGATATTGCCAAGTTACCATCTATAGTGGCTGTACCAATTCATTAACAGATGCCAATGACAAATAACAATATGAAAGGATACAAAACATACTTCTATTGTAAAACTTCTAATCCAGAAGCCATAAACAACTCCTATCCTTTATAATAAAAGGCTAATAAGAAAAAGGTAAAGATAAAAATTATGAATAACAAATACATATCTATCAACAAGTGAACCTAAAAATCAAGTGAATTAAAAATCTGAGGAACAGAATAAACTGGTGAATATAATAGAATCAGGGGCATAGAATGGGAATGGATTGATAATTCTCAGGGGGAACAGGGTGTGGGAGGTGCGGGAAGAGACTGGACAAAAATCATACACCTATGGGTGAGGACAGTGGGGGGGGGTAAGGGCAGAGGGTGGAGTGGGAACTGGTGGAGGGGAACTATGGGGGAGGAAGGGAAGGAGAAACAATTGTAATAATCTGAACAGTAAAGATTTATTAAATTTTTAAAAAGAATGCAAAATAACAGCAACAGCACTTTTAAAAAAAAATAAATCTTTATTGTTCAGATTATTACAAATGTTCCTCATTCCCACCCCCCCTTCCATTGCTCCCCTCCACCAGGTTCCCATCCCACCCTTTCCCCACCCCTCACTGTCCTCATCCATAGGTGCACAGTTTTTGTTCAGTCTCTTCCGGCACCCCCACTCCCCTTTCCCCGAGAATTGTCAGTCCACTCCCCTTCCATACCTCTGATTCTATTATATTCAGTTAATATTGTTCATCAGATTTTTTAATTCCCTTGGTTTTTAGATTCACTTGTTGATAGTTGCGTATTTGTTGTTCATAATTTTTATCTTTATTCTCTTCCTCTTCCTAAAGAATCCCTTTCAGCAAATCATATAATTCTGGTTTGGTGGTAATGAACTCCTTTATTTTTTTATTTTTTTTATTTGTGAAGCTCTTTATCTGGCCTTCGATTCTGAGTGATAGCTTTGCTGGGTAGAGTATTTTTGGCTGTTGGTTCTTGCTATTCATCACCTTGAATATTTCTCGCCATTCCCATCTGGCCTGCATGGTTTCTGTTGAGAAATCAGCTGACAATCGTATAGGTGCTCCTTTATAGGTTTCTGTTGAGAAATCAGCTGACAATCGTATAGGTGCTCCTTTATTGCTGCTTTTAATATTCTGTCTTTTGCTCTTGGAATTTTAATTATGATATGTCTTGGTGTGGTCCTCTTTGGATTCCTTTTGTGTGGAGTTCTGTATGCTTCCTGACTTGTAAGTCTATTTCTTTCCCCAGGTGGGGGAAGTTTTCTATCACTATTTCTTCCAGTATGTTTTCGGTATCTTGCTCTCTCTCTTCTTCTAGGACCCCTATAATTCTGATGTTGGTTCACTTGAAGTTGTCCCAGAGGTTTCTTACATTATCTTCAACTTTCTTGATTCTGCCAAAACCGGTTTGGCTCAGTGGTAGAGCGTTGGTCTGCGGACTGAAAGGTCCCAGGTTCGATTCCGGTCAGGGGCATGTACATTGGTTGCGGGCACATCCCTGGTAGGGGGTGTGCAAGAGGCAGCTGGTCGATGTTTCTCTCTCATCGGCATTTCTAGCTCTCTATCCCTCTCTCCTCCTCTCTGTAAAAAATCAATAAAATACATATTTAAAAACAAACAAACAAACAAACAAAAAACCTTTCCGGATTCTCGTCTTCTTGCTTCTGCGGAGGGTGTCCTCTGGCTCTTTGTGTTCCAAATCTTTGACTTGATTCTTGTGATCTTCCATTCTATTTTTAGGACTCTCTATAATATTTTTTATTTCAGACAATGTATTTTTTATTTCTAGTTGATCCCTTCTCATATCCTCATAAGTATCGTTTATTTTATAGGCCTTTTCTAGGAAATTCTTGAAAAACCTTATAACCGTGATTTTGAACTCTATATCAAGTCGCTTTTTGTCCTCCATTTCTTTCGTTTGTGATCTGTTTCCTTGTGTTGGCATTTTTGCTGCTTCCCTGGGTTTCTAGGGTGACTTTGTGTGCTAAGGTGTCCTATATGGTTCAGTGGGTCAGCCTCCCAGTTACCTCAGGTGGGCACTCTTGGTGCCCCTTTTGTGGGCTGTGTGTACAGCCTTGATTGTTGTTGGTGTCACTTCCAGGCCAATTGGCTGTGAGGATCAGCTGTGTCTATGCCATGAGACAGCCTTATTCCACTAGACTTAGAAAATTGCAAAAGCCTCTGTGCTCAGCTTGGATGGGGCGAGTTTCAGGGTGGATCCTACAGCCTTGGCTTCCCTCAGTCCCGCCCTATGAGGTTCCTGAGTCTCAGTGTTCCTCAAGGTCCTTCTGTACTCGCTGCAAGCACCTCTGAGAGAAAGGTGCCCTCGAGTTTTGCCCGCTACCGAATAATCTAGGCTCTCCCCCAATAAGCCCAGAACTGGGGTTCAGTGCAGTTGGAAGTGGGGTTAGAAGTGGGGTTCAGAGCAGTCTGGAGCTTTTGTCTCCTTCCCGCCAGGGCAATCCTGCGGCACAGCCAACTGTCCGTTCTCTGCGCGCAATGTGCGTGCCTCTGGGACCTCCTTTCGCCGCTCCCCTGAGTTTCCACCTTACAGCCCAGGCTCCCTCCGTATGAGCCTGGGACCCCAGGGTCTGGCCTAGAACTGGGGTTCAGTGCAGTCGGAACTGGGGCTCAGCACAGTCCGGAGCTTTTGTCTCCTTCCCGCCAGGGCAATCTAGCAGCAGAGTCAACAGTCCATCTTCTGTGCGCAACGTGAATACCTCTGGGACTGCCTTTCGCCGCTCCCCTGAGTTTCCGCTTTACAGCCCAGACTCCCTCCGAATGAGCCTTGGTCCCCAGGGTCTCGCCCAGAACTGGGTTTCAGTGCTGTTGGAACTGGGGTTCAGCACAGTCTGGAGCTTTTAATTCCTTCCCGCTAGGGAACATCAGCCAGGCACTCAGCCTCCCCTCCTCTCCAGTTCTGTCCTCTCCGCGCGTGCACCGTGTCTCCGTACCTTAGGCTTTTACAGCTCCTCTGATTTTCCTTCTGGTTTTCTCTTTCCTTCTCGTTGTAGAATTTCCAGTTAGTCAACTTTCCTGTAGTTTTGGATAATGTCCATTTTGTATTTTAGTTGTATTTTTTTGAAATTGTTATATGGGGCTGCAGTTAGGCGTTTACCTATGCCGCCATCTTGGTTTCTCCAAAATCCCAGCAGCAGCACTTTTAAATGTATCAGATTACTAAAATGCATGAAACTATGGCATAAAAACGCAATCAGCTTTTGAGGAAGAGTGTGCTCTAATACACTGCTTGCGACGTGCCAGGCTCTCTCCAGTGCTCCCCATAACTCAAATACCTAATCTCCAGTGCCTCTGAGGCAGGTCCTATTAAAACCATCATCTCACAGATGAGGAAAGTGCCATTTACCACGATACCTCAGCTAGCAAGAAGCTTGTTACGTATTCTGTAGTTTCTCCTAACACTTACTTGCAAAGTTCTGTGGTTTTCAATTTAGGTCTTTTTATTTAAGTTTTTTGTTGTTATGTATTGATTTTAGGAAGGGAGGAAGAGAGAAAAAAAGAAACACTTATTTGTTTTTGTTCCACTTTTTATGCGTTCATGGACTGATTCTTAAATGTGCCCTGATGGAGAATTAAACCCACAACCTAGGAGTATCTAACCAACTGAGCTACCTCGCCAGGTACAATTTAGGTCTTTAATTTCTTGAAATTTAACCTGGGCATGGGTGAGGTAAGGATATAACTTTATTTTTTCCAGACAGATATTTCCACATGAACTCATTTAGAAGAGGGTCATCTGTCCAGGCTTCAGCACTTGCAGTCCCCAATCCACTCCGTCACTCCAGGGGCCAAAATCAGGCTCTTCCTGGGTCTTCAGGCCCCACTTCCCCACCTGCAGCATGGATGCTGATCAGAGCTAGGCCGTGGAGACGAGTCTGTTCCCTTGCATGGCAGCCTGAGACAGAGGGTGGTGATTCAACTGGCCAGCAGGTCCCGCAGTTCACTGTTGTGGGGCAGCAGGTCACATGCTAGTCGTGCCTTCCGATCCCGGACGGCCTTCAGGGCTGGGCTGTGTTGCAACAGAAGGGAGCAGATATCCACGTGACCCTTCTCGGCAGCCTGTGGAGAGAACGGCCTGAATCAGAAGTCACACCTCACCAGGCCCTGCTCTTGCACTGCTTCGGGGGATCTCTTGGTCCTCGTGGAAGTGGAGACACTGGCTGTTTGGGTAGACTTCGCCTAACTCCTACCCACTCCCACGACTGGCACGCACGTGGGCAGAGTACTCTAGGGCCATCCTGGCAGTTAGCTTTAATTTTTGGTTCTTGTGGTCTTTGGCTCAGTGGCCATTCTTCCTTGTCCAGGCTGCACAATGAGGACAAGTACAGAACCCTGGGTCTCTGTGTATTTGACAAATACACGTTCTGATCATCGATGGGGGGCTGGGCACCATGAGTGCAAGAGACATCAGACATGGCCTCTGACCTCTTGGAACTTTCAGATGAGCAGAGAAAAATGGGCTCAGGTCACCAGCTTTCTCCTCTCCTCTTCTGAGACAGATTATCCCAATCTGGATGTCAATTTCTAATTTATTTGCAAAAAATAGCAATTAAGTGATTTACATAAACTTATTTAACTTTCATAGTAACTATCAGAAGTAGGTACTATCATTATTCCCATTTTATAAATGAAGAAACTGAGGCTTATAAAAGTAAAGTGACTTACCTAAGGTCACAAAGCTAATGCGGCAACCTGGGGATTCTAAAGCAGGTCTGTCTGATCTCAAAGTCTGGACTGTTACAACTGTTATACTACAGTACTAGGCTCCCTACTCCTCCCAATAGACAAACTGATGGAATACAGAGCTTGTGAGAGGTATCAAAATTAATAATAGTATCAACCATCATCTCAAGTTTGAACCCAAATCTTTTTTTGATGATATAGACACAGGTTCTTAATTCTATTGCCTCATTTCAGGCAATGCTATGTTGTAAACAACTGTATTTCAAGTAATTTTTTTTTTTTTTACCAGAAAAAAAGTACCAATGTTTGCAAGTAGTTTATTAAAAAAGAAAGAAAGAAATTGAAGTCCAAGATGGTGGTGGTGAACTCAGCCCTCCATGAGCACACTGAACTATATGCCCATAGAGAGAGCCATTCCTTCAGAGACCCCTGGGAGCAACTGAGCTGCTTCTGCAGAACAAATGCCAGAGAGGAACGGTACAGGGAGGTTGGCGGCCGCGGGAGCCGCCCAAGACGGCGGGAATTCTCTGGGCGCCAGTGAACACCCTTGCTTATATTCCCTCCACCTCCATAGGGCAGGGAGCAGCTCTATCCAGGTACTCTGACCTCCAGCCATCCCACCCAGAGCCCATTTCCCTCTGAACAAAGGAGAAAACAGCATCCTTAGGCATTACCACACGCAGCTGGCTCCAATGGCCTGCCAGATGACCCAGCACACAAAGCCACAAGGACACTTTTTCTTTTTTAACTTCTTTTTCTTTTTATTGATTTCAGAGAGGAAGGGAGAGAGGGAGAGAGCGAGACATCAATGATGAGAGGGAATCATTGACTGGCTGCCTCCAGCACCCCCCATGCTTCCACTGGGGATCGAACCCACAACCCTGGGCATGTGTCTTTAGATCAGAATATAACCTGTGACCTTTCAGTCCACAGCCCGATGCTCTTTCCACTGAGCTAAACCAGCTAAGGCAACACAAGGCCACTTTTTCAAGACCGGAAAATATAGCTATTTTGTCTAATTATATAAACTAGAATGTCAAACAAAATGAATAAATGAAGGAATATCTCTCAAGGGAAGGAACAAGAAATATCCCCAGAAAAGAATCCTACTGAAACAAAGATAAGTAATTTATCCCAAAAAGAATTCAAAGAAATGGTCATAAGGATGCTCACTAAACTTCAGAGTAAAAAGGGACTTAGAGAGAACTTCACCAAAGAGTTAGAAAGTATAATAAAGCACCAAGCAGACCTAAAAAATACGACGAGTGAAGTGAAAAATACGGAAGGAATCAGCATAAGATTATTTGTTGTTAAAAACAGAAGAATGGATCGGCAACCTGGAAGCCAGACTAGTGGAAACCAATCAATCAGCTTAGCAAAAATTAAAAAAAAAAATTTAAAATGAGGATAGTTTAAGGGGCCTCTGGGAAAACACCAAGCACACAAAGATCATATTACAGAGATCCCAGAAGGAGAAAGAGAGAAAGGAACAAACTTTCCTGAGAGAGGAAACATATCCAGGTTCAGGAAGCACAGAGAGTTTCAAACAAGATGAATCCAAAGAGACCTACACCAAGACATATTGCAATTAAAAAGGCAAAAGTTAAAGATAAGGAGGCCATCTTAAGTGCAGCAAGAGGCAAGTAAGTTGCATACAAGGGAAAACATATAAGGCTATCTATAGATTTCTCAGCAGAAACTAAACAGGCCAGAAGGGAGCAGTAGGACATATTTAAAGTGCTAAGAGAAAAGAACCTACAACCTAGAATACTTTTTTAAAAAAATATATATTTTATTGATTTTGTACAGAGAGGAAGGGAGAGAGATAGTTAGAAACATCAATGAGAGAGAGTCATCGATCAGTTGCCTCTTGCACACCCCCTACTGGGGATATGCCCACAACCAAGGTACATGCCCTTGACCGGAATCGAACCCGGGACCTTTCAGTCCCCAAGCCGACGCTCTATCCATTGAGCCAAACCGGTTTTGGCAACCTAGAATACTTTACTGGGCAAGATTATTATTCTGAATTGAAGAAAAGATAAAGAATTTTCTGGACAAGCAAAAACTTAAGGAGTACATCATCACTAAACCAGCTTTACAATAAATGTTAAAGGGTATTCTTTAAGCAGAAAAGAAGAGGTGATAACCAGACACTAGGAAATATGAGAAAGGAAAATAACTTACAGATAAAAGCAAATATTTAATAAACACAGCAAATTAGCCATTTAAAAAGCCACTATGATAGATAAAAGTACCAGACTCAATAAAAAACTACAAGTAGTTAGGAGACATACAAAACAAAGATTTATTAACAACAAAAAAAGAAAACAAACAAAAAATATTTTAAGTATGACTTCAAAAGCCCTAGTTGGTTTGGCTCAGTGAACATAGTGTCAGCCTGCAGAATGAAGGGTCCCAGGTTTGATTCTGGTCAAGGGCAAATGCCTGGGTTGCAGGCTCAATCCCCAGAAAGGGGCTTGCAGGAGGCAGCTGATCAATGATTCTCTCTCATCATGGATGTTTCTATCTCTCTCTCCCTCTCCCTTCCTCTATAAAATCACTTTAAAAATTATTTAATTAAAAATAAATAGATAAATAAAATATGACCTCAAAACATAAAGACTAGAGGGAGGGGGAGCAAAAATGTAGTCCTTTTAGAAGATGAGAACTTACATGCCTAGCAGCTTAAAATAAACAGCTATAAATATAGAATGATACACATAAACAGCTAACATCACACTCAATGATGAAAAGCTGAAAGCTTTTTCTTTAAGATCTGGAACAAGAATGTCCACTTAACCACTTATATTCAACACAGTATTGTAAGTTCTAGACAAAGCAATCAGACAAGAAGAAATGAAAAGCATCCAAATTGTAGAGGAAAAAGTAAAACTGTCATCATTAGCAAATGATATATATGGAGAACCCTAAGGATTCCACCAAAAAACTATTAGAACTAAATTCAGTAAAATAGCAAGATACAAAATTAATATTAAAAAATCAGTTGCAGCCGAGACTGGTTTGGCTCAATGGATAGAGCGTCGGCTTGGGGACTGAAGGGTCCCGGGTTCGATTCCGGTCAAGGGCATGTACGTTGGTTGCAGGCATATCCCCAGTAGGGAGTGTGCAAGAGGCAGCTGATCGATGACTCTCTCTCATCGATGTTTCTAACTCTCTATCTCTCTCCCTTCTTCTATCTCTCTCCCTTCCTCTCTGTACAAAATCAATAAAATATATATTTAAAAAATAAAAATAAAAAATAAAAATAAAAAATCAGTTGCATTTTTATACACCAATATATTCAGAAAAAAAGAAAGAAAACAATTGCTTCAAAAAGCATAACATATATAGGAATAAATTTAACCAATAAGGTAAAAGACAAACTTGGAAAACTACAAGACACTGAAGAAAGAAATTGAAGAAGATACAAATAAATGGAAGCATACACCATTTTCATGGATAGGAAGCATTAATGTTAAAATGTGCCAAATAAATAAATAAATAAATAAATAAATAAATAAGTATACCACCCTGCAATCTACAGTTTCAATGCAACCCTTATAATATCAATAGCATTTTTCATAGACCTGGAATATAAAATCCTAAAATTTATATGGAACCACAAAAGACCCGAATAGCCATAGCAGTCTTGAGGAAGAACTGTATCTTTGTAAACATAACATGTCAAGGCTGCTGAGCCCATGCAAGCACCTGTCAGGTCCCTCTCTGGAGGCCAGCAGCCTGCTGTGAACCCATCAACCCTGAGGTCTCTGTTACTAGAGGGGGCAACAGAGTTGGAACACTGATTCCCAGAGGCTTTCTCCTGGAAAAAATGATCAGTATTTCTTGTCTTCTATGCGTGAGGGGATAAAATCTAGTCTGTAATTAGAGATCCCCTTTTTAGAGACATGTCTCTAATATGAAACAGTTCAGTCATTATTGTACACCTCAAACTAATACAACATTGTATATCAACTATAATTAAAACTTTTTGCCATACCTGGTTTGGCTCAGTGGATAGAACGTTGGTCCGAGGACTAAAAGATTCTGGGTTCGATTCCAATCAAGAGCATGTACTTCAGTTGCAGGCTCGATCCCGGCCCTGGTCGGGAGCATGCATAAGAGGCAACCAATTGATGTCTCTCTCTCAGATCAATATTCCTCTCTCTGTCTCTCCCTAAGAATTAATGAAAAATTATCCTTGGGTGAGGATTAACAGAAATAAAGCAAGCAAGCAAACAAACAAAATAAACCTTTTTTTAAAAAGTGAGCACAGCCAGCTGGAGGGGCTCAGTCGGTTGGCTGTTGTCCTGTGCAGTTCGGTTCCTGGTCAGGACACATACATGGGCTGGGGCTTTGATTCCTGGTTGGGGCACATAGGGAAAGCAGCTAATCAATGTTTCTCTCCCTCCCCCTCTCTCTCCTTCTCCATTCCTTTCTCTCGGGTAGGAATTAAAAAAAAAAGAAAAAAGCGAGCACAGGTTTTTAGTGAATAGTAAAAAATGTCAGTCACAGGTTCTGTTGTTAATGTAATGCAGACAAATTTTTCTTTAAAAAAAACACGTTTTTATTGATAATTGGAGAGAGGGACTGAGAGGTAGAAACACCGATGAGAGAGAAACATCATCAATCAGCTGCCTCCTGAACATCCCCCACTGGGGATTGTGCCTGCAGCCCAGGCATGTGTCCTGACTGAGGACTGAACTGGGGGCTTCTTGGTTCCTTGGTCGATGCTCAACCCCTGAGCCACACTGACTGGGCTTAAATTTTTCTATCTTAATATTCACAGCCAGAAATGTGTTTCACAAACTACAATTCAAAAATATTATTTACTGTGCTCCTGCTTGTATAAATAAATAAGAAAAAAAAAAAAAAAAAAAAAAAAAAGATGCACTGGAGAGGCAGGCAGGGGCTAGCCTCAAGCCTGGTAAACTATCAATATATTCAGGGCTTTAAAAGCTCGGGAAGAGTATAAGTTTGGCATAATCCAAACTGCTTTTTAAAACCATCACTCTGGAGGAAAATCAAGTGGGGATAAGACAAATAAATTTACACATACCCAGTAAACCACTTCTCAAAGATGCATAAGAAATGGATAAAAATGTCTGTCTTAGGGAGGGACCCAGAAGAAGGACTAGGGGCCGGGAGTTGAAGGGAAACACAGCCTACCATCTTGTACTCCTCAAATTGTCTACCACGTGCAGGTATTTCTAGTTTGAAGTGTATAGGGACAGGTGAATATAGGTGCAAGTTTCAGGAAAAAATCATGTAGAAAGCATTCATGACATATCACTAAAGGAAAGAAAAATTAAATGATACTACATTTAATTCTAATTTACAGTCACCGGAAAAGTGCTGGAAAAATACACACTAATCCTAAAGTGATGAGACGAGAGCACCGCTTTTTACTTTCTGCTTCATGCTTCCCCGTCTTCCCGTTTCCTACGGTGAGCGTGTTCTATACCTTTTATAATGACATAGAGCAGGTGCTGGAGGGCCTGAGGGGGCATACCTTATGCAGACTGGTCATGCCATCGTCATCCACCAGCCTGGGATTGGACCCATGGGAGAGCAGAAGCCGTGCAATCTCTGTGTGCCCACAGTAGCTGGCCCGGTGCAGAGCGGTGGCCCCGCCCCGGGTCTGGGCGTCACACTTGGCCCCACTTTCCAGCAGGAACTGGCAGACTGCGTAGTGTCCGTTGCGACTGGCGTAGTGCTGCAGGGGACAGAGACGAGGTCGGACAGCAGAAGCGGGCAGGCGACAGGGGAAGGGAAGGGGAGGGGAAAGCATGGGTCCCTGAGCAGAGGCCTGGCTCCATCAGCTGTGTGACTTGGGCCACTGGCTTCCTCAGTCATTTCTATCTCACAGGATTGTTATGAAAGTGAAATTAAATAACTAGATAAAAAAAAATCCAGGTTCACATGACACTTAAAGAGAGAAACGCTGCTGGGAGAGAAGAATGGGAGGGAGGAGGACCCCAAGTTCCTCCCAGCTCACCAGAGCGGTGTAGCCGGCCAGGTCCGGCTGACTAGGGTCCACTGCCTTCTGGATTAAATCCTTCACTCGGCCCAGGTCTCCATTCAGGGCTGCTGACCAGATTCCTAAGGAAAGACAACCAAAGTGCCAAAGCACTGAATGATGCTGACCGAGGACATTTAATATTTCCTTCACCCTTGACCCCCATTTTTTCCCCATCCATAAGATTGGTAAGAAATGGGCATTGGGTTAATATCCATTCAACAAACATTAACCAAGCACCTCCTCTGTGCCAAGGATTGTCCTAGGTGCTGGGGACACAGTAGTGAGCCAGGCTATGAGCTTGCCTGACCAGAGCAGGGGCGTTGGACACAGAAATCCCTTCTCCCCACTTTAAATACTGAGTACTGTTTAACATGGTTGAATGCACAAATTCAAAAGCAAGACAAGAACCTTGCCGAGACCAGTTTGGCTCAGTGGATAGAGCATTGGTCTGTGGACTGAAAGGTCCCAGGTTCAATTCCGGTCAAGGGCATGTACCTTGGTTGTGGGCACATCCCCAGGAGGAGGTGTGCAAGAGGCAGCTAACAGATGATTCTCTCTTATCGTTGTTTTTCTCTATCCCTCTCTCTTCCACTCTGTAAAAAATCAATAAAATATATTAAAAAAAAAAAAAAAAAAAAGCCCAAACCCCCAAGCTAAGAATGTGGCATAAAAACTGGTCCAGACAAGTATCCTATAAGGGCCAGTCAGAGGCAACATTTTTTAATGACCCTTAAGGTCCAGCCAGCGTAGCTCAGTAATTGAGCATCAACCTATGAAGGCTCAGTTGATGGTTTGATTGCTGGTCAGAATATATGCCCAGGTTGCAGGGTCCATCCCCGGGGGGTGGGGGGTGGGGGGGGGACGGGATGCAGGGGGCAGCTGATCAAGGATGCTCTTTCATCACTGATGTTTCTTTTTTTGGTGTCGTGACTTGGATACGAACCGAATCACTGATGTTTCTACCTCTCCTCCCTTCCCCTCTGAAATCAATAAAAATATATTTTAAAATAAAATTACCCATTAAGATGCTTCTATTAGCCTCAAAGCTATGTGTGACAATCTCTTACAAAGGAGGACCTCCCTGGCCAGTATGACTCAGTGGTTAACTGGGCCCATGAACCAGGAGGTCTTGATTAGATTCCCAGTCAGGGAACATGCCTGGGTTGCAGGCTAGATACCCAGGAGGGGGCATGCAGGAGGCAGCCAATCAAAGATTCTCTCTCATCATTGACGTTTCTCCCTCCCTCCCTCTTTCTACAATAGAAAAATAGTGTGAAAAATAAAAGAATAATATTTCCAAAGGATTGGGTGGGAAGGGAAAATAACTGTCAACCTAGAATTTTATACCAGCTAAGATTGTGTGTGTGTGTGTGTGTGTGTGTGTAGCATGCTCACTGAGAAAACTATTAAAGGATATACTTCAGGCCTGGCCTCAAGGCTCAGTGGTTGAGCAGCAACTTATAACCAGGAGGTCACAGTTCAATTCCCAGTCAGGGCACAGGCCCTGGTTGTGGGCTCCATCCCCAGTAGGGGACATGCAGGAGGCAGCCGATCAATGATTCTCTCTCATCATTGATGTTTCTATCTCTTTCTCTCCCTTCCTCTCTGAAATCAATATATATATATTTTAAAAACAGATATACTTCAGGAACAATAAAAATGAACCAGAAAGAAAATATGAGGAAAAAAATCCACACAACAAAAAAGATAGGATCTTTTCCATGTGTGCAAAATAGGTTTCGAACAAGCAAACAAAACACAGGCAGCCTCGTTTCACTGCACTTCACCTTCGTGTGCCTCCTAGATGCTGTGTATTTCACAAACTGAAGGCGAGACGGTCCACCAGCAAAACAATCAGCACTCGCTTTATTGAGATGCTCACTCCCTTTACAGTGGTCTGAGTCAAACCTCCAGGTGTGTCTGTGGCGTCAGATGGTAAAAACTGCTCTGATGAAAGCAAGGAGATCTACTGGAACTGGAGGGGCCGGGGCCCTACTTTGCACGGGTCCAGGCTTCTTTCCGTCAGCAGCACAGACAGGTGTGGCCGGAGAACTGCGGGGAGCAGCCTGGGAGCACCTCCCAGCGCCCTCAGCCCTCAGGGTAACCCACGGGCGAAGGCTTCGCCAAAGAGCCCAGGGGGCAGAGCTGTGCCGCTGAGAACTAGGGTGCTCCTCGGGGCCCCCGGGGCGGGGAGCGGGGGAAGAGGCCGTGGAGACGCGGTACCTCGGGCCCCTCGCGGCGGGAGCCGGCGGCCTCGAGGACCCCCGGGCGCACTCGGTGCGGACGCCGCGGCGCGGAAACGTCAGCCCCGCACAGCGGCCGCCCGCCCCGCGGCTGCAGCCCGGGGCGAGCGCGGGTCCCAGCCGCCCGATCCGACGCCGGAGCGGCCGGAGCCCCCGCGTCGCCCGGGCCCAGCTCCCCTCCCGTCCCGGTCGGCGTTTCCAGTGGCCGAGCTCCGGCCAGGCCCCGGAGGGAGCTGGTGACCCAGGACCGGTGTCCCCGACCGCCCCCTCGGCCCCGCGGCCGCTCACCCCTCTCAAAATCCATCTCGTCCAGCGTCTGCCGCGCGCCGGAGCGGCTGCAGCAGGGGCCGCCCGCGCAGGGCCCCGGCGCCGCCATGCCGGCCTCGGCGCCGCCCGGCCACCTGGCCAGTCGGCGTCCACCGCCGCGCGGACCAATGAGGCGCCCAGGCTCTCACACGACAGCCAATCGGACGGCGGGGCGGGACCCGGGCTGCGCGCCTCGCCCTGGACGGCCGCACGGGGGCGCCCCAGGCCCGGCGGAGGGCGGCGCGGGGCGGGGCGGGGCGCTGGGCGGGGGCGGACGCCGCCCCAGGTCCTCCCCGCCTCCCCGCCCCGCCCGGGGCCCAGGAGGGAGGCTCCCCAGCCACCTGAGGCCTCGCGGCCACGCCTCACGCCCTCCCGGTCCGTTTCCCGTGGGAGGCAGGAGCAGCTGCAAGCCCCGCGGGCAGGAGGGCGGAACCCGCCCGCAGTGGCGCCCAGTTTAGGGCTCGGCCCTCTGGACATCAGAAGGTCCTCGCGGGTCCAGCGGGTCCCTCAGCCAGGCCCGCAGCGCCGCCGGGCGGACGCCGCCCTGAGGCCTGCGTGCGGGCCGGGGCGGCGGTGCACGTGGCCGCCCTGCGCTCCCGCCCCGGAGCCGCAGCCCCGATGCCCCCCAGCGAGGCGGCCCCAGAGCTTCCAGGGAGCGGCCTCCCGCCCTCACCCCCTTCCCCTTCCCGAGTTCTGGGAAGTCAGTTCCGCCCCCGCTGTGACTCCCAGTTCCCTGTCTTCCCCCCTGGCCAGAGGCCGAGGCCGGCTCCGCGCCCACAGCCACCGCTGGGGACACTGGGTCCGCCGTCCTTCCCCTTTGAGGGCACCGGCGGCGGGCCAGGACCAAGGGGAAGCGGGATGGCCTGACTCTTCCACAGGGAGCCTTCCCTCTTGGCATTGAGGCTTTAGCCCAAATGTCTCAGTCCAGTCAGTTTCATTTTCTCCATTTTATTTGTCAATATAAAAATACTCAAATATTTACAACAAATAAATACGCGGGGACACAATAAGTTACACTGTTAGGAGCCCTCCTCCAGGCCTGGGAGAGGCTATGCCATATCCGCAGCATGCCCACCCTCTCCCCCTCCTCTCCCAGCCCTGTGAGGGAGGACAAGTATAAAATACCACGAACCCAGGGCCAACGGGAGGCCCTCCCTCCCTTCCCCCAAACACACAGGAGGTCCACTCCCTCCCCGAACCCTGGAAACATTCACCACCCTAGAAGCAGGACTAGGCCCACCCGAGCCCTGCACTCCCCCAGGGGCACAGCACCCTGCCCAGCCCACCCCCATATGTACACCCCTGCCCCTCCTGGGGACAGTGGGGGCAAGAGAAGCAAAGTGATCCACCCCTCCCCCTTCATAGCTCCAATGACTCACCAGGAGGACCCCAGGCCAAGGGAAGACACCACAGAAACAGAAGACGGTCACGCAAACACACCCACGTGCACACACACATACACAAACGCACCCATATCTCCAACTTCTGTCTGAAGGTTTGGCTGCTGGGGTCCCGCGTGCCTGATTCACAGCCCCTCACAGAGAGGAGGAAGACGCCGTGTGGGCGGCTGGTGCCTTGGTGAGCCACACCAAGTGGCAGTGCCCGTGCTGAGCAGAGCAGGTCCTCATGGGCGAGCGGGTGCCCACGCCATGTCCCTGAGGTAGCTGGTGCCTGTGCAAAAGTAGGAGCCGGGGCTCCCAGGCCGCCCCACGCCGTGGTGGGGTCCCTCATACCGAGGACTCCTCGGGATTGGAGTCCGGTAGGGGCTGGCGCTGGTGGAGTTTGCGCCTCATCTCGTCCGCCAGCTCGGGCAAGGGGTGCCCCAGCCCCTCGCCGTGGTCCTCCCCGCCCAGCTGTAAGCGCACATAGCCGTTGGCGTTCGAGTTCCGCCCACCCCCCAGGTGGAGCCGAGTGGGGGACGGCAGGGGCTGGCCGGGGATGCCCGGGGGTGGGGAGGGGGGCCCCGTCCCGGGCTGGCACCGGGCGTGTCCGGGCACGATCTTGAGGGAGCCGTCCGAGTAGTAGTAGCCAACGGGGTCCCAGAGCTTCTCGTCAGTGTCGGGGCCGGGGCGGAAGGGGGGGCCGGTGGGCTCCTTGGGGAGCTCCAGAGGGTACACCAGGGTCCTCTCCGCCGCCTTGGTGCCTTTCTCCAGCTCCTCCCGCAGCCGGCGGCGCAGCGACAGCACCAGCAGCAGCAGCACCAGGCACACGGCGCCCAGGGCCACCACGGCCAGCCACACCAGCCCCAGGTTCTCCAGGGGCGCCCGCGCCTCCAGGGTCAGCGCGGAGCCGGCCACCACGGCCACCAGGTAGCCTTCGGCGGCCAGCCGCGCGCCCTGCTCCTCGGAAAAGCAGTGGTAGGCGCCGGCGTGGCGGGGCTGCGCCGCCATCACCACCAGGGCCTGGAGGCGGGCGTCGTAGAGGAAGGAGCCCGGCTGTTCCACAGGCAGGTCCCGGCCCCCGAAAGTCCACCGGGCGTGGGCCAGGTTGGAAGTCAGGCGGCAGGGCAGCACCAGGTCGGTGCCCGCCACCACCGTGATGTTCTTGGGCGTGAGCCGGACTGCAGGGCGGGGAGGAGAGGGAGCGGTCAGCGCGGGAAAGCCAGGGCCCAGGGAGTGCGGACACTCGCTCTGGCGGGGCCCGCCCCGCGGGAGGGGGCAGGGAGCTCACCTTTCTTACTGCCGCGGAAGTTACACAGGCCCGAGGTGTCCGAGATCCTCACTTGCTGGACCAGCAGGGACCTGGTTGGGGAAGAGGGTCCATCAGCGTCCCTGCTCCCGCCGCCTGCCCCCCCCTCCCGGCCAGCGGGAGCAGAGCCCCACGCACCCAGAGGGGCCGCCCGCGGCCACACAGCGGCTGGCGTTGACGTTCCAGGCGCAGTAGGGGTCCCGGGCGAGGATGCAGTCGGCACAGGAGCGGTACTTCGCGCAGTCGGCCACGGGTAGCTGAACCAACTGGGAGCGCGAGCCGGCAAACAGCAGCTTCTGCAAGAGAAGCGGTGGGCGTGGGAGAGGGTCCACAGGCCCGGGCCCGGGTGGGCACGGCTGGGACTGCTGGGAGCGGCACAGGGCAAAGGGGCCAAAAGAAGGGAGAACCAAGGACGGAAACCTAAGGACCACAGAATGCACGGGGGCTTATTAGAGCCGACACCATCCTGAGCACCTTAAAGGTGGCCTTCCTGGAGAGAACAGGAGCCTGTGGTGCTGTGGATAGTCACACACACACACACACACACACACACACACCATCCTGAGCACCTTAAAGGTGGCCTTCCTGGAGAGAACAGGAGCCTGTGGTGCTGTGGATAGCCACACACACACACACACACACACACGCACACACACCATCCTGAGCACCTTAAAGGTGGCCTTCCTGGAGAGAACAGGAGCCTGTGGTGCTGTGGATAGCCACACACACACACACACACACACACACACACGCACACACGCGCGCGCGCGCGCTCCAGTACAGTATAAATAGTGCAGGAAGTATGCTTTCCGGCAGCCCTCACAATGGTCTCACAATAGAATGGGGACATTGGACGGAGATCAGGACCCAGACCAGGCAGCCAGCCCTCTTTTAGCAGCAGAGCATAAGGTGTTTTCCTGTTTGCACGGTGACTGCTAGTCTGGGTTTCTTCAACCAGACTTTCTTTCTGCCATCACTCCACGTCTGGGAACAGTGTGTAAAGGAGGAGCATGTGGACGTTTAGGTGGGACAACAGGCCGGAGGGGAAAGGTGCGCCTGGGAAGGGGGGTGTGGGGGTCAGGATTGGGGAGTATGCAGCCTGGCAGGGCCCTGGCCATGCACAGCCTCCGGAGTGCAGGGGCACCGGACTGACCCCGGAGCTTGGCCCCAGCCCAGCGGTGTGCGGAGTGCCCGCTCCGCCCGGAAAGGGCCTCGCACAAGGCTGGGGAAGAGGACGGGCTGGGGGCGGAGCTGATGGCTACCTTGCTCCGGGACAGGACCAGGCTCTTCACGGGCTCCTGGTCAAACACCTGCAGCTCCTCGATCAGGTGGACCCAGGACCCCAGGCTCACAGCCTTAAGTAGCCAGCCGTCTCCTGGGGGGGGGGGGGGGGAGGACAGGTGTCAGTGAAAGCACAGGTCCCCGGGGCACCCCCTCTCCGGGCACAGGCTTTCGATGCCCACGCGCCTACCTGTGCCAATGAACAGCACTGTGTAGGAGGCTCCATCGAGCCCCGGGACCCGGTCCGCCACCAGGTGGGTGAAGTTGGTGTCCTTCTTCACGAGCAGGGGCCGGCCCCTGAGCGGCTTCACCTGCTCCTCCAGCAGGGGGTGCTTCTTGACGAAGTTGAGGGTGTTGTCGGGCAGCTCCAGAGAGCTGGTGTAGCCGTGGTGGCGGTGCCAGTTGTTGATGCACTGGAGAGCGGGGTCGGGGAGAGCGGTCAGTCCGCGGGAATGGCACCGGGGCTGAGGGCAGCCGGCCCTCCCGGGGCAACTCACCGAGCCCGGCCGCGGGGTGGGCACGGGGTCCGTGTAGCGGCCCCACTTCTGGGATTGCTCGTGGTACTCCTTGTAGGGACCCTCGAACACCCTCTGAATGTCCTCCAGCTGGTACTCGCAGACGGCGGACAGGTCCACGTCCCCCCTGCCAGAGGGAGGACCCACGGTCAGGCCGCGCACGGGGAGGGCAGGGCCCGGCGCGGAGCCGTCACGACACGCACCGTGTAACGGCCACTCTGAAGTGCCGGGGGCAGCGAGCCGGCCCAGGTCCCCCTGGGAGCGGGTGACCAACACCCTCCTTGGCTTCCGGACTCACCCACAGGCCCACACCATAAACCACCCCCGACCTGCAGACCCGCTTCTCGCCACCCTGACCCCGGCCTGCTCACCATCGCGCCCGGAAAACCGCGAAGAAGGTGGTGTTGCGCCAGGAGGCGCCCCGCAGGGTGTGCAGCGCCTGCAGGTGGCTGAGGTAGAGGTGGCGGCCGGGGGCCGAGCACACCAGGTGCGCCTTCAGGAAGGTGGTCCACTTCTTCTGCAGGGTCCGCGCGCCGCCCACGTCGCCCTGGCGGGGACACGCAGGCGTTGGCAGGCGGCCCGCGGCCGGCAGGGCGCCCGGGCTCCGCCGCGCCCCGTACCTTGCAGACGCGGGCCACGCGGGCCACCACCTGCTCCGTGTAGCAGTTGTACTCCAGCGCCCGCTCGCTGAAGAAGAAGTACACCTTGTCGTCGTCCCCGGTCACGCTGCCCTCACTCTCCGGGATGTAGGCGGAGCCCACAAAGTGAGGTTCTGGGGGAGGGGGGAGACTCAGCGAGGCCCAGGGCGGCCCCCACCCCCGCGCCCCCCACGCAGGCTCCGAGGGGCTCACCGTTGAGCCAGAAGGCCAGGTACTCTGTCTTCATGGGGTGGTGGGGCCCCATGTTACGCAGGATGATGGGCTCGGTGCCCAGGAAGTTGTTGAGTGTGGCCGAGTACAGCTCGCCATCTGTGGAGACAGGGCGTCAGGAGGCCGGGTGGTGGGCAGCCTGGGACGGGACGAGCCCTGGGACCCCGGCCTGCCGCAGGGGCCGCTCACCCACAAGGAGGCCGGTGTGGCCCTTCGCGGGGTCGTAGGGGCACTTCCCCTTCCCGTCCTCAAAGGCGCCGTGCTCCAAGGTGAAGGTGCCCGTGTCCTGGCAGAGGAGAGAGAGTGAGGCCAGCAGGCCCGGCGCTCAGAGAGCACCCGGGCGGAGGAGGTAAACACTCACGATGTAGGCGCACTTGGGCTGGAAGGCGTAGGTGCCGCACACGTACAGGTGGGACGCGTTGTACGGCTGTAGGAAGCGGATGAAGTTGAAACACTCCGTCTGGGGAGGAAAGTGGATCCAGTCAGAAGAGGAGGCCCGAGAATGGGGGTGCAGTCAGAAGAGGGGGGCCGAGGATGGGGGTGCAGTCAGAAGAGGGGGGCCGAGGATGGGGTGCAGTCAGAAGAGGGGGGCCGAGGATGGGGGTGCAGTCAGAAGAGGGGGGCCGAGGATGGGGGTGCAGTCAGAAGAGGGGGGCCGAGGATGGGGGTGCAGTCAGAAGAGGGGGGCCGAGGATGGGGGTGCAGTCAGAAGAGGGGGGCCGAGGATGGGGGTGCAGTCAGAAGAGGGGGGCCGAGGATGGGGGTGCAGTCAGAAGAGGGGGGCCGAGGATGGGGGTGCAGTCAGAAGAGGGGGGCCGAGGATGGGGGTGCAGTCAGAAGAGGGGGCCGAGGATGGGGACACTGGAGGGAGATCAGGAATGAAAAGGGAGCCCCGGGCAGAGCGTGAGCCATGAGGCCCAGCCGGGGGGAGGCAGAGGCTCCTGCCCGCCCCCCTGGCCTGTCGGAGGCGCCCACCTGGTTATTCTTCCCTTTCTGGACACACTCGGTCTTCTTCTCCGCAGGAGCTGCCCACGAGATCTGGGGACAGAGACGGGGGGACTGAGCGTGTGCCCAAGCGCCTGTGGCAGCCACCGAAGACCCGGTGCCAGGACAGGTGCCCACGGCGGGCGCTGGCTGCGGGGAGGACACGGCCCCACGCGGCCCACGGCGCAGAGCCAGCCAGTCCCCGGGGCCGCCTGGCCTGCCACGGCCGTGCCTCCCGCGCCCCCTCCGCTCACCACTCCTTGCAGCTCCAGAGCCTCCACGCTGAAGGCAAACAGGGCCTCCCGGGCCCCCACGTACAGCAGCCCGGTCTGCTCGGTCAGGGTCAGCGTCAGGAAGTCCTGGATGCCCGTCTGGGAGAAGCGCCGCACCACTGGGGCCAGCTCTGCGGGCGGGACGGAGAGCGAGGCTGTGGGTGGGCGGCCTCCTTAGGGCTCCAGGCACCCCCGCCCCAATCAGCCTCCCTCTACACCAGAATTTTCAACCAGTGTGCCACAAGAATGTTTAAAACATGCAATACCTGCCCCAGCCAGTTTGGCTCAGTGGGTAGAGCGCGAGCCTGCAGACTAAAGGATCCCGGGTTGGGTCAAGGGCACATGCTTTGTTTGCAGGCTCCTCCCCAGCTGGGCCCTGGCCGGAGCTTGGTGAGGGCACGTGCAGGAGGCAACCAATCAATGTGTTTCTCTCTCATCGATGTTTCTCTCTGTCTTTCCCTCTCCCTAAAAACCAATGGAAAAATATCCTCAGGTGAGGGTTAACAACAATAACCATGCCTGACTATTTTAGTCAAGGGCACTGACCACATTTCCCTTAGACTGTCCAATAAAAAAATTACAACAGGCACTATAACAATAGCCATTCCGTATGAATGAACCAAAATTATCTTTTTTTTTTTTTTTTTTTGTCAGACTGGCCAAAAATACAACATCTTTTTCGGCGTGCCACAGAACTTTAGTAATTAGTTTCTGTGTGTCATGAGATGAAAAAGGTTGAAAAATCGCTGCTCTATGCAATGGTCTCCTGGGCCCCCTTGTCCTTGTTCCCCACATGAGGGCTGGCAGCCCCACAGCAACGTAGCCCAGTGCCCTGATGGCAATAAAGGGCATTTCCTGAACTGCCGCCTGGCGGACAGCGACTGCGGGCCTTGCTTTCCCGGGAAAAGCCTGGGAGGAGCACATCTGAGCTGCGAGGAGGAAGGAAGGATATCTCGGCCACAGCTTCCGGCCAGAGGAAGCCATCAGAATGATGGCTCCCACTCTCGGGTCAGCAGCGCCTCTGGCTGCAGAGCTGGGCAGGCTCCTTCCCGGCTTCCACAGTGCCTCTTCCTTCTCTGCTCTGCTGCCCAGTGCCCACATCAGAGCCCAGCCGGACCCCGCAGGGCAGGCATACAGAAGTTGTGAGCGCTCCTTGTCTTAGAAACCTCCCGCTCCTCTCAAACACATGCAGGCTGCCCGACCCGCCAGCACAGCTGGCCGCTGGAACATGGAGGGGAACCGGAGGCTGGGATGGAGATGGAGCTGAAGCCTGGGGCTGGGAGCCTTGCTGCCATTCAACAGGCAGGGCACTACGACATCCATAGTCACAGGACCCCTATGTCGGCTTCCAAAATAGCTGCCGACCTGTCCTCAGGCCCCCTAAATCAGCTCAGTCTTTGGAGCCAAAGCTGGGTCCAAACACAGCCAGGCAGGAAGGCTTCGTTAGCACCTGAGAGCAGCCTGTGGGAGGTGAGCTCATCCCAGGTCCCCAGAGTGCAGGGATGGCACAAACACCTGACATCACCTCTGGGTACGTGTGCGCCCACAGTAAGGCTGGCAGGCTGCTGTCCTCCACACGAGCACGTGCACACACGCCCACCGAGGGCCACAGGTCGCAGGCCGTGGTTTCAAGCTCATGCGGGTTCAGGATATCTATCTGGCTACACACTCAGGGAGAGTGACAATTGCAGAAGTGAGGATGGGGAGAGGGATGCAGAGGAGGCAGGGGACAGCCCTGGTCCTGAGCCGGACGATCAGTCCCAAGTCCCTAGGGTCAAAACTGGGTCACCTGCATGGTGGGCCTTCGCAGCAGAGAAAAGCTGGCACAGTCAAGGGGGCAGCCTGTCAGCGTCTCTTCCCTCAGCAGCCCCTCCTGGCCCCTCTCTCCACCTGGTCTGTCTCCTCTGCTTTCAGACACTCACCCCCAGAAGATACCGTCTTCCGGGGCACCAGGTTCCACCACATCTCAGCCCCGAAGCCCAGGCCCCACAGCCCCACAGCCAGCAGCCAGCCAGCCCAGTGTGGGGCCATGGCACGCGCCTGGCTCAGAGCTCCAGGCCAGCCGCCCTGCTGGGGGAAAGAAAAGGGTCAGCATCGCAGCGGCGCACAGGCGAGGGCACTGCCAGCAGACAGATCAGGCCTCCCCGGGGCCCTGCCCGGTCCAAGGAGCCGAGACCTAGTTCCCTCTCAAACCTGAGCCCCTCCTCCCCCCAAAGGACCAGGGAGTCTCCCTGAAGGGGTGGGGCCGCGGGGGGGGGGGTAGGCCCTCCCCCATCCCTCTGCTCCACAGGAAGTTGTTTAAGAAAATAAAAAAGGACCCCTCCCCCACCCCAGGCCTGACAGATTCCAGGTTTTTTAAAGTAACCTCTGGAAGCAACACTTGGCCCTGCTGGGGCTCCCGCCACCCCAGGCCTGATTCTGGACGGGACCCCTGGGCGGTGCGGGGCAGGAGGGGGCGGCGGGGGCCGGCGCCGCGGGCCGGGGTCCTGCCCGCTCCCCGCCCCCCGCGCAGACAAAGGCGGGCGGCCGGCCCCGCTCCCCCGGAGGCCGCGGCGGCCGGGCGGGGGGCGCGCTGCCGGCCCTTTGTGCCCAGAGGGGGCAGGAAGCGAGGGGGGCGGAGTGACCAGCGCCGCCCCCGCTCCGCCAGCGGCCTCGGCGGACGGCGGCCCCGGGCCGGGCGGGGGGACGGAGCCGGCCGGGGCCCAGGCGGCGCCCGGGGGGCGGGAGGCCAGGCCCGGGCTGGGGGCGCGGGGGGCTCCCCGGAAGCCGCGGTGCCGCCAGGGTCTGAGGAGCCTCCCACCCGGGGATCGCGCCCCGCGCCCGGCCAGGCCAACCGGGCTCATTCCGCCGCCGCAGGCCTCCCAGGCCGGGCACAGAGACCAGCAGCCGGGGCGTGTTACCCCCAAAACAAAGGGTCCCCGCCAGGACCCGTGCCTGTCCCCTCCCCCGCGCCCCCAGCTCGGGGATTTGAATGCAAACAAAGCAGCCGCGCCAGGAGCGTGCGGGCGGCCGGCCCAGGACGCCCCCTGTCGGCCAGGACCCCGCGCGGGAAGGGCGGGGGACGGACCGCTCACTCTCCGGGTCCCAAACCCCCGGCCGCCCTCCGTCCCTTACCCCGGCCTGGCGGCTCCGCGGCGCGCAGGGTGCCCCACACGGAGACCGGGGCGGCCTGGAGCGGGTGCAGGGCGCGGGGTCCCGGGGGCCCTCACCCGTGCCCACCACGAACGGCAGCCGATGGGCGAGCGGTCCTGCCGGGGACAGGCCGGCTGAGCTCGGAGCTGGCTCTCCAGGACACTCCGCCTCCCGGCGGAACGGGCGGGGGGCCACGGCGGGGAAATCCGATCCCACAACATTGGCCTCGGCCCAAGCCCGCCCCAAACTTTCCATCGGGGGTGGGGGAGCCGGGGCAGCTCGGGGGCCTGGAGAGGATCCCGGCCGCGGACCCGCCTGCACAAGGGACCCTGCTCCGAGCCGCGCTCCGGCCAGTCCGCGCCCAGGACCCCGGCTGCAGGCGCTGCCGGCCCCGCTCCACGCCCTGCCGGGGGCGCAAGGAGGATCTGAGCGGACAACTGCCCCTCCGCCCTTCCCTGCGCCCCAGATCCCGTCCTGCGCCCCCGATCCCGTCCTCGCGCGTGCGGCGGCCCCTGCCCGGGAAGGGACAAAGCGGCGCCCCGCGCCCCGCGCCGCCGGCCTCGCTCACCGTCTCCTCGCGGCTGGCGTCCCGGCGCCGCCCTCCGTCCCGCTCGGCTCCGACCCGCCGCCCGCCCGCGCCTTCCGCGGCCCGCGCCGCCCTCCGTCCCGCTCGGCTCGGCGCCCTGGGCTCGGGCTCCGCGCGCCACCGCGGCGGCCGCCGGCTCTTTCTCCGCCGCCGCCACCCCGCCCCTCCCTGACGTCAGGCGGGGCTCGAGGGCGGGCCCGGAGGCCGCCGGGAGGGGCTGCGGCCCGGCCTCTCCGCGCCCGGCCCGGCCCCGCGTCCCCCAGCCCCGCCGGCCGCGCGGGACCCGCGGGCGCTCCGCGGCGCCGGGCATTGTCCGGGGAAGCGCGCGCCGGCCTCTCCGGAGTGTGTGCCAGGCCCACCGCGGGCCGCGCGGCCGGGCTCGGGAGGGGCCTCGGGGCGAGAGGGCTCAGGGGAGCCCGGCCCTCCTCCGGGCCGACCGCCGGCCCTGCAGCCAGACTGCACGGGGCTCCCGGGCCAGGAAGACCCCCGTCCGCGGAGACGCTGCGCTGGCTTCTCGCTCCACGGGCCCGGGGACCCGCCCAGCGCCCCTTGCCCAGCTCCCTCTAGCCGGGGGCACAGGCTGCCCCAGGAAAGGATTCCCTCGGTGCCGCCGGGAGGCTAACCATTGACAGGAGCCTGATGTTCAGATGAAAGGGGCCGAGGGTGGCCACGCTGCTGATCTGCCACCTTCAGATCTGCCACCTTCAGAACCGCCAGTCTCCGCCCACGGCCGCTCCTAGAAGTAACTGGTAGCTCCTGGGTGATGTTGCCAGCTGGTCCTCCGAACTGGGAAGGTGGACAGAGGCCAGCACCCAGCGAGATGCCACCTCCTGGCCAGGAGCAGAGGGCAGAGGCGAAGAGGCCCAGAGGCTAGGGTGGTGGCTTTACACCGGCTGCAGCCCTACAGGGGAGCAATGCTTTCGGGCCCCATCAGCAGATCTGGATTATAAATCAGTCCAGACAGAAGCTTTTGTTCTGGGTTAAAACTTGGCGTCTGAAGAGCAGAGACCAGCAGAGTAGAGGAGATAACTGGGGAGGCAGCCCAGTTTGGACTCAGTAACAACTGGGTCTTTGCTGGGCACATAAAGGCCCCTTCTCCCGCTCTGGCCATGGCCACATTTCCCAGCTCCTTTCCACCAGAGAAAAGCTGTGTGGCTTTGGAGATGCTGGAGACAGGGGGCAAGCCAGCTATTAGGACGGGGTGGGCAGCAGGCTCTGCTCCGCAGGCTGGGGGAGAGGAAGTGGGTGGCTTGGTTCCCATTTAAGAGGTGACCCGTGTGCAGCTCCCTCATTCTGTGCTGTAGACTTTGCAGCCTGCCTCCACCACATTTTCTTTCGTCCCACCCTCAGAACCACTTTGTAAAGTGGGCAATTGTTTGTCCCACTTGGTAGATACAATGAGTCTGAGAGACCTGCTGGAAGTCACACGGATGGGTATCAAGGTCAGAATGTTACCTTGGGCCCCGGGGACTCCAAACCCATCTTTCCACTAAGTCACATTGGATCCTGGCAACTTTCAGCCCCCAACTGCTCCGTTTCCTGCTGCTCTGCCTCCCCTTCCAGCCCCGCCCCCACTGCCACCTACTAGGTGTGAGGGTTACCAGACAGAGACTTGAGCTCCTCCTGCAAGATAGCCCCAGTGGAAAGTTTCAAAGGTGGTTTGGTTTCACTGGCAGGGACAGCCTTCCGTGCCCCACCCTCCAGGGCAGGCTTCTGCGCTCCAGTAACAGCCTGAGGGAGCCCCTCCTCCCAAACGCTCCTCCCAAAGCTAGGCTGCAGCCCCCACGCCCTCCCCACCTGCGCCCATTTCCTCCGTGTTCTGTTCATGCCCCGCAATGGCCTTTTCCGGGGGCGGGTGAGCAGGGAATAAAGTTTCCTGCATGACCATTTGCTCATGATTCATACTTAAAAAAAAAATGTTTTCATTCATTTTTTTTAGAGGAAGGGAGAGGGACAGAAAGACGGATGAGAGACCTCATGGATCCGCTGCCTCCTGGATGCCCCTCACAAGGGATCGAGCCCACAACACGGGCATGTGCACTGACCAGGAATCAAACTGGCGGCCTCTTGATTCCTGGGTCGATAATCCACTGCTGAGCTATACCAGCGGGCAAGAGTCATTCTTTTTAATGTAAGCACAACTGGTCTAAAATGAAGATTCCTGGGTCTTAGGATAAAAAACAATGTGTATCTATTGACCTCCCTGGGGCCTGTCTGGCATTCCCCGTGGAAGTGCCCACCTCAGCCTCAGGCCCTGACACTCCTACTTGTCCCACTAACTCAACTGCCGAGGCCAAGTCAAGGGGAGGCGGGCGCTAAGTGCCTTCTGAGTTTGCTCAGAGGCCCTGGCAGCAGAGGCTGGCCCCACAGCGGGCCCAGGGGTCCCTCCTGAAAAGCAGGCTCCATTCTCCCCCCCCACTGCTCTGAGGCAGCTGGCAGGAGGAGCCATGCTTCCCTCTGGGGTTCACTGGACAACATGCCTGGCTACCCCCCAGAGAGCCGAGCTGCTGTGACCCCAAGGGGAAATGAGAAAGCCTGGGTCAGCCACCCTCCAGGGACCTTCCTGAGGGCCTGAGGACTGAGGTCAGTGGGGACATAGGAAAAGGACTTCCTCTCTGCTTCCTCCCGAAGGGGAGTTATCAAAGCCACCCACCTGGGAAGCCTTTCCCTTCCCAGCCCCTCCCTGCCACCGTCACCCAGAGGAAGCAGGAAAACGTCCTTCACCGCAGCCCGGACGCCCCTCCCTTTCCCCAGGGCGCCATCTGGAAAGGGCAGGGGTGCCGGGACCAGCACCTGTCAATTCTTGGCCTAGAGCAGGCCGAGGCTCTCACTGGCCCCAGACTGGTTTTAGATCAGGTCTGCTCCAGGCCAGTTCCAGAGCGGGCCCATTACATGTCCCAGGGGATGGTGCATGCCCTTGCGTGACCTCAAACTGCACACCTCTGCTCAGGTTACAGCCAGGCCTCCAGAGGGACCGAGTCGCCACCAACACCTCCTTTCCTTGGTGTCCATTTCTCTCCGGGGGACGGGTGAGTGGGGCGGTGTGAGACCAGAGCTGGGAGCTGAGGGACAGCGCCACTCTAACTAAGAGCCACAGAGAGAGAGATCTGGAAACTCCCCAGGTCTCCCTACTCCCTCTCTGCCCTCGGCAGTGAAACAAAGAAGGGAAATTACAAAGGTGATTTCCAGGTTTCCAGAGTGAACTGAATGGCTGCAGATTAACTGCCGGGATGCACAGTGTTAGAAGCGGGCAGCCCTGCGGGAGGGTGCAGGAGCCGGCCCTTGTTTGGGGTACCACGGCCTCCTTGGGGCCTCAGAAGTGCCCTGGCCCAGGGGGCCTGCGAGGCAGCCAGGAACAGAAACCAGAACTCTCGGTCCAGTCACCTGGGCAGCCAAGTCCCCTGGCAGAGGATTTCTTCCACCTCTCACTTGGCAGTGCGTGGAGGCCGGGAGGCGTCCTGCACGGTACCAGCCTCTGAATTATAGATGCCCTGGCTCCCAGGAGGGAGGCCCAGGAAGTGAAGGGGTGCTGCGGGTATGCCAATGGAGCTCCTTGCCCTGAAAGTCCTTTATTTTGGGGGAGCCTCTCTCCTAGTGAGCCCCCTTCCCCTGACCTCTGTGGCTTGCAAGGACCAAGGACAAAGGAGAGGGACAAAGTCTAGGCACCTGCTGCGGTGATGCTCCTCTGGCAGACATAGGCTGAGCCGAAGAGTGAGCACAGGCAGCAGCCACAGGCACACCCTGCCCGGTGACTCCCCTTCCATTTCCGCGGCCCCTGCAAACCCCATCCCAACCCCGAGAGAGGCAGGAGGGGCCAGAGACTAGAAGTGGATGCTCAGGGTTGGAGGAATGGACGGAGGGAGGAAATGGACACCCGGGGTCTCCTGGGAAGGCCCCTGGGATGCTAGGGTATGGAAAACCCACTCTTTCCTCAAGGGGAGCAGGGCTGAGACATCCAGCATCCTGTTAGGGAGCAGCACCCACAAAACTTGCCTCGGGCAGCAAGGCCTGAGCCCAGTCACACGGCTGTCCGAGGTGAGTGTTCAGCAAACCGGATGCTGGCACGAGACCTCAGGACGGGCTGCAGGAAACCGTCCGAACCACTGATGTGAAATCGGCTTTAGTGTGCACAAAGCAACCTCACATTCGTGAGAGAGGAAGGAGGGCGGGAGGAGAGGACACGTTGGGCAGGGAAGGAGAGCGGGAGGAGGGGGCAGCGGGCAGCGAGGGGCAGGGTCCCTTGCCGCTGGGAGTCAGGGCAGTGGTGGAGGCAGGCTCTTGCTTCATCAGATGGTCCTCCTCGGGCCCCCATCCTTCGCTGCCTCCAGTTCCAGGGTCCTGTTCACTCCCCCGCAGAGCGCAGCCCTGGCCACCCTGCCCGGCTCCTTCAGATGCTGCCTGGGGGGCTGATGCGCGGGGCCTGTGCAGGGTGAGAAAGGTGTGGTTGCCTGGCCCTGGTGCTCCCTGACTCCCCAGTGTCCATTCACCATCCAGGGCAGCCTCCTGTGCCAGCCGCTGAGTGACGGGGCTCCTGGGGCTCGGCCCAGGCAGGGCTCAGGGCAGCAGCCACAGGCACACCCTGCCCGGTCCCTCCTGCTCCCCCCTCCCCCCCCCCCCCCCCCGCCCCTTGGCTGCCTGCAGCCCCAGGCAGTGTGAGCGGTGGGCCTGCCTCCCGGCTTGGCCAGGCCACAGATCACTTTTCTTTCTTTTCATGACAAACACAGTTTCCCACCAAAAGACCAGTGTGATCCAGTTCCTTGGGGACCAGGGTGAGGTTAGGGCTCCAGCTTTCTCAGGGACTTGCGAAATCTGAGACCTAAGCCACAGCCTGTGGCGACATGTCAGCCCCGTGTCAGAGGTTACGGGGAAGGACATGTAGAGAAGGCAGAGGAGAGGCTGCTGGTCTCCACCGAGGGCTGGGCCGGAGGGAAGTGCCCCTGAGCCAGCAGGCGCTGCTCCTTGAGGGATGGAGGCCGGAGGGAGGATGCCAGGGCAGGGCCACAGGCGTGGGTGCCAGGCTGGCCCAGCGCCTCAGTTCTGACATTTATACGCTGCCTGCCTGTGCGATGGGCAAGCTAGTTAACCTCTCGGTGACCGTGGGTGCGCTGTCTGTAAAATGGGGGCACAGTGATACCGCCTCGTGGGCTGTGTGCACTCGTGCAGAGCATTAGCTGGGAGCAGCATCGCCTCCCTATGAGGGGGAGGCGCGGAGGCTGATGCTCCGAGGGCGGAGGGCGGGCAGGCGGCTGGGAGGGCGGGCCAGCTTCAGCCTGCAGGGCGGGCAGGCAGAGGGGGACAGCTGGCACCTCTGGTGCCCGGGTCCCCCTCTCTGGGAGTGGAGGCTTCTCTGCCCCACGCCACACACCCACACTGGTATCTCACTCCTGATAAGAATGCTGAAGGCCTCCAGGCCCTCCCCTCCCCCTCAGGCCCTCTCCAGCCTTTCCCAGCCCGAAGCTCAGCAGCTGCAGTGGGGGTGGACACGGTGGGGGGGCCGTGCTCTGGCTCTGGTCAGCTGCCTGACCACTTCCCTCCCCTCCCAGTCCGGAGGCGAGAGGGGCACCACCTGGGGCCGGCAGTGGGCCAGCAGCTCCTGCCAGCGGAAGTAGGTCTGGGTAGCCAGGTCCCTGAGCTTGGTCTGGTGCATGGCCTGGGGGCTCTCCCGGATGTGGGCGCTGATGTGACGGTCCAGCTGCGTACACAGCAGCCGCAGCTCTTCCTGCAGAGGCACGTGGAGGGGCGGAAAGAGAGGAGAGGGACAGGGCAAGTGCTGGGGGTACATGTCCGTCACTCTAGAGAAGGCCCCATGGGATGCTGGGAGAAGACAGAGGCCTGCTCCCCACACACACCGCGCCCCCGCCCCCGCCCCCGCCCCCGCCTGCTGCGCTTCTTTCTCAGCCCTCTTTGCAGTTCCTGACAGCTGACTGAGGCCCAGCCTCGGGGAGACTCACCCAGCGGCCTGGAGTAAGGTCTTGGCAGCTGACCACCACCCCCGCCAGGCTCAGGAGGCTGTGACACAGGTAGCAGACCTGGAGGGCACAGGAGGGCAGCCCTGAGTCCCTCACCCAGTCCCCCAGTCCCCCTTCCAGGCCCAGCCAGGTTCCTGGGGGCGTCTTCAAGGAGCCGGGCCCCTCCAGGCTCCCCCTCCTTCCACCAGGCCCAGCTGCCCCCGCCCCGCCCAGGATCCAGCGAGATCGCCGCCTGCGAGGCCGTCCGCTCAGACCTCTGCGCTGCTCCTCACGGGCCCCCTGCTTCTGTGGGCACGACCCTGGGGGCCAGTCTCCTCACGGGGGCCTGGGGCCCATGGGTGCCTGCTCACCCTGGGGGAGCACCACTTGCTCAGACAGATGTGCAGCCTGTCCAGACACACAGACCTGCGGACATGACGAGGGGGCGAAGGGGCGGAGGCAGCGGGTGGCCATCTGCAGGGTCACCCACCAGCACATACCCTCGCCCTTGCCCTAGGCACTGAGGGGTGAAACCGGACACAGTGGTGTGATCCCAGGGCCTGCACTCTGAGTGCTCACTCATCTGCTGTGCAGGGGAAATGAGGTGCCAGGCACCCTAAGACCGGCGAGGCTCCGCTGTGGAGACCGTCTGCTCCTGGCACCCTGAGGTTCTGTCTGCGGATTCCTCCTGTATCTGAGACCGGGAGGGTGGCAGGAAATGACCCTGACCTGCAGATAACCGGCCCAAGGCTGAGCTGGAGGGAGAGGCGGCTCCAGAATGGAGCTCAGAACCAGCCCTGGGCTTCCCCTGCCATCACTTCCCCCAGAGCACTGGTGGGCAATCTCGCTAGTCAACAGAGCCAAATATCAACAGGACAAGGATTGGAATTTCTTCTGAGAGCCACATTTTTTAAACTTAAACTTCTCCTAACGCCACTTCTTCAAAGTAGACTCGCCCAGGCCGTGGTATTTTGTGGAAGAGCCGCACTCAAGGGGCCAAAGAGCCGCGTGTGGCTCGTCAGCTGCAGTTTGCTGACCACGGCCCTAGAGCACCAAGTGGTACCCAGAAATGGGGCAGCCTCTTTGCACAGACCGGAAGCCTCTTAGGGCAGAAGCCAGAATCATGTTTGAGGGCACCAGACTTGGCACCATGGAATAGTCTTCGTGAATTCAAACACCACAGCACAAGGCCTGACAGAGACCACCTGCCCTCCCCCAGCAGCACCTGCCCTGCACGGACCCAGCCTGTTCTTCAGCCCCGCAGCAAGGCCCGGGGGCTGACCCGGAGGCTGGCAGGCACAGAGATAGGCAGTGGGGGAAGCTAGGGGTGTGCCTGCAGGCAGTGCTGCGGGGGTCTCGCCTGGCCTCTCTGAGCCAGCTCCGACTGCAGGTCCTGCAGCTGCCAGTGCCTGAGTCCCAGCAGGCCCGCTCACAGGGCGCTAACTGGCTGGCAATGCCTGCTCCCCAGGGCTCCCTGTCCCCAGACTGGCGTGCCCTTTGGAGGGAGGGCCAGGCATCTGGAGCCCCTTCTGACCTCTGCAGTCCAGCCAAGCTGCTCATCACCACCCTCCCCCACCTGGACATAAGGCAGGCTCAGTTCTGTGTGCTGGCCACTGCACTTGGACTAAACACAGCCACAACCTTAGACATCAGGGAAGAACGACCTGCAGGAGCCTGAATTCCAGCCTCCCCAGCGAGCACAGGAGAAGGGGCTTCTCGGTTTCCGGGGGGATTGGGGGGGTGGTGGTGGTGTGCAGCTCCGAAGGTTCAGGGAGGAAGTGACTAAGCTACAGCAGGGAACAGCAGATCTGTGGTGAGGTTGGCTATGGGGCCGGCGGGCAGGCTGATTACAGCACCAGACAGAGCAGGGGCTGATTCAGGGAAACAGAGGCAGGCACCAGGGGAGGAAGCTGGCTGGGGTGAAGCAAGGGGGGGAGGGCGCCCTGAGGAGCGGCTGGTGGCAGGGTTCTGGGCAGGGCACTGGGGAGAGGCAGGCTGGCCTGAGTCCCTCTGGCTCTGGTATGCTCACTGTTTTGAGCTACAGGCAACTGTAGCCTCAGGCTCAAGAGAAACTGCTGCCTCTCCTTTTAACGACCTGGAACATTTGAATGAGGGCCTTGCAGAATGTGACCTCTAGAAAGGTCAAAAGAGACAGGGCAAATATCTATTTGCTGAATGCCTGTGCTTCTGGCCATCATCCTGCAATGGCCGTGGAAGGCCCGCGGACACGACCTCCGGCTCAGCACCTCCATCCTCAGCCCCTCTGTCCCGAACCTCGACTCTCCTGTGCCTGTGGGGTTCCCGCACGGACGTACGTGCTAAATTTGTTATTTTCTCGTAAGTCTGCCTCAGGCCTCTGATTATTAGGCCGCCGGAGGCACCTGAGGGAGGAGGGAAGTTTGCTCCTCCCTGACGGGGGGCAGGTGGACACCCCGGAAGCGGGGACATCAGTGCAATGGCTCTGAGAAAGGGTTAAAGGACATCCTCATTTTTTTTTTTCTTTTTAAGATTATTTCTCTACAATGTGTATATTTTACTCATATGATCAAAGTACAATAAAAGTTTTCAAAAACTAATTTTAAATAAGACAGTGCCAATTAGCACTGACTAGGCCTGGCTGGGTTTGGGATGAGTATGACCTGTAAAGGAGCAGAGCTCACTTCCGTGGCTCAGTGGCTGACCGCCTATGAACTAGGAGGTCCCGGTCAGGGCACTTGTCTGGGTTGCGTGCAGGAGACAGCCAATCAATGATTCTCATCAATGATGTTTCAATCTCTCTCTCCTCCCTTCCTCTCTGAAATCAATAAACAAATTAAAATAAAATAAAATAAAATAAAATAGCCCCTCCATGAGAGCCCTGAGCTCGCAGAGGGTGAGGGTGAGACGCCAAAGACAAGGGTCAGGGGCACTGGTCTGAGGCTGCGGAGGGGCCGTGGCTGAGGGGGTGCGAGAGCCAGGGAGGCGGGCAGAGAGGAGAGGAAGCTTTGTTCTCAGCCCTTTCACTCAGCTGCCCCTTAGCCCTGAGCGGGGGCAGTGGGTCTGCCCTCTGCCCAAAGCTCAGTGAGGTCCGTGCTGTGCGCAGCGAGCCTGGGCTAGGAGGAACCTGCCGCCAGCGCAACGGTCCCCGGCCCAGGCGCCTGCAGAAGGACGAGGAGATGGCGTGGAGGGCGTGGGCCCAGGATCTGAGGGATGCCCTGCGGGGAGTCTGTGAGGAGGGATTTATTTCTTTTTTTTACTTTATTATTTTTAAAAAATATATTTTATTGATTTTTTACAGAGAGGAAGAGAGAGGGATAGAGAGTTAGAAACATCGATGAGAGAGAATCACCGATCAGCTGCCTCTTGCACACCCCCTACTGGGAATGTGCCCGCAACCGACGTACATGCCCTTGACTGGAATTGAACCGGGACCTTTCAGTCCACAGGCCGACGCTCTATCCACTGAACCAAACCGGTTTCGGCAGGAGGGATTTATTGAGGGAAAAAAAGGACTACTTGCATGTAAAATCCACAACTTCCTTCTTCTGCTCTTTCCCATGACTGAGCTGGAAAACGTTTGTGAATGAGTTTTGGGGGTGGGGGTGGGGGTGGGAGTGTAACAGGAAGAAGAAAAGCCCCACTAACCACATTCTATTTTATCAGCAGACTTTCCGAAGCGGAGGAATTGCTCCTGCCCGGGAGAGGGGCTGGTTTGAGGGCGATGCCTGGAGTTGGGGTTCAGTGACGGGGGCCCTGTAAGGAAGACCTTGACCCCACTTAAGGGGATAGTAAAGGTGCTGAACCAAGGGTCCTTACAACTTTGATTAAGTTTAATTCTAAATCCTAGCACTAGAAATCCTCTCTCTCTCTCTCTAAATACATATACCTCTCAGAGACCTATCATTTTCTCCAATAATCGGCAGCCCCCAGGCAGCAGAAGCCAGAGCCTGGGCTAAAGATAACATCTCCACCTAAATTATACTTCAGCTCCCGAACCCCGGAATAGAAAGGCCCCTTGGCTCCTTTCCATGATCAGACAGTGGATGCTGTCTCAGGCTCCACTGTCCCCAGACCCGGGGAAACGACTCCCCTGACCCACCAGCGATCAGCTCCCAGCACCACCCACACCCTGAGCCAGGTTTTAGGTGTTGCCAAACATAATCTGCACCCTACACACCATCGGGTGTCAGAGCTCCCTGCTTCCCGATGGGGCATTCACTATGAAACTTCCTTCCCTTTTGTGGGGGTCCAGAACGAATTACCCCAAGATCTGCTCTTGTGGTATGCAGACTATTTGGAGCTAAAGGCAACTTTAGCCGCAGGCTGACGAGCAATTTCTGCTTTCCACCTGTAACCGCCTGAAAGAATGAGCTCGAGGCCTTACCCACTTCAGCAATAATCCTTTCAATCCACTTATACGGCAGGGCAAACTTTTACTTACTAAACATCTGCTCTTCCTTTTTTTGTTAATTCTCATCCAAGAATATTTTCCCCCGTGATATTTTTACCTAGAGTAGAAGGGAGGTGGGCGGAGGGGGAGGGGAAGGGGGAGGGGAAGGGGGAGGAGGAGGGAGAGGGAGGGGGAGGGAGAGGGAGGGGGAGGGGGAGGGGGAGAGGAAGAGGGAGAAAGCATACATCCCAGGTGCCCAATTGGGGATAGGGATCTAACCGGCAACCCAGGTACGTGCCCTTGACCAGGCATCAAACTTGTGACCCTTCAGTACGTGGGCCAACGCTCTAGCCACTGACACACCAGCCAGGACACACATCCTGCAACAAGCCTGAGAAGCTTCCACAGCAGGTTGTATACCCCTGTCTCTGAACCTCTCCTGCGAGTGGGGTCTCATACACGTGTGTTAAATCTGGCTAGTTCCTCTCAAGTCTATTTAATCATTCGACCAGCCGGAAGCTGTGCACGGAGTTCAGAGGAACGTTCGCCCACTCCACTTCCAGCTGCAGGACTCAAACACCGGGTCCCCGAACAGGCCCCTGTGGGAATCCTGATGGCTAGCCTGTGTGGCAGTGCTTTTGGGGAAAAGGCTTCATATGTACAGAGGACACGCCCAGACCACGTCCAGCCGCCACGCCCCAGGCCCGAGGCC